TGAGTACACAGACAGCCGGAGATACGGGGCCAGATAGGCTGCCATGGATATGGATATGGCTATTGCTATGACCAGATCCAGAACCACAACTACAACTGCAATCTGTGGAGCCATGCGATGCTCAAATACGAATTGGAATCGGAGACAACGCGACTCTGGCCGCTTTATTTGGCCTTATGACGTTAGGGGCCGGCAAACACATACATTACCAACGCTCGCCAGGTTGCTAATGCACTGGAAAAAATTCAACTAAAGTTAAAATAGCTATAAGAAAGAATAACATACATACATTTAAAATAATATTAGGGCACTGGAATTTCAGTAGGTCAGTAAATTTATACCATTTCGTTGAATAAACATAAGAACTTTTACAAAATATTTTTTAATTATCTATTAATGGTATGTAAAATATATATTACTAATTTTTATAATTTCAATTGCAAGCATTTAAAGCAAAGATACACATAAACTATCCCATTTCTAAAATATAAAATTGGTTAATAAGAAAAAATATAAATAGAAGAAATTGGTGTTGAATCTAAGTTTAATTTCTAAAATATACCATCCTATTTTTTGCCGTGTAGGTAGCTCAGACAAGGGAGGAGGCTATGTGAATGCGAAGGAGGAAGAGCGACGACGAAGGCCTCTTGTTGTCACGAGATTAAGGCATTTCCTCTTTGACGTTAGCGCAAGACTCGCCCTTTGCCGCTCTTCTCTCTGTTTGGCTTCTTTATCACGGCCATTGTAATTGCGCACTCAGGCCTGATCCGTTCCGATCCGTTCCGTTTCGATCCAATCCCCTCGTATCCCCTCCGATCCAATCCGATCCAATCCCGTGGTCCAGCCGATCCGCCTAGCGACAACAATTACCCCGCGGCTAGGCCAAGCCATCTTGGCCACTCAATCAAAGGCGAAAGCCAAATGCCGCCTCGAAGTAAGGCAAGCGGTAGCCAAAGAAGCCGTCAAATTGTTACGCATAATGGATGTTTTTATCAGCGAAATGGTTTCTTCTGCCCGTCCAGTCGGACTACTGGACTTGGCTCGTCGCTGGGTTTTCTCCCTTTGTTTTGGCTGGCTGTCGGCGATCTTATACTGTAGTCTTTGATGTCACCGTTTGGCCGTTGAACTTTTCTGACTTTGGTGTTGTTGTCCACATTTTTCCACCATTTTGGTAATGAAATGCAGCATCAAATTTGTCTTACTTTAAAGGTATAGTGGTTCTTTCTTCAAACTCTCAGAGTATTTGCATCATTTGCAAATTAGTTTTAATAGAAAGCATAAAAAATCATATATAAATATTTCAACATTTTTAAATATGAATACAATATATTAAAAAACAAGTTTTGTAATTTACATAAAAACAATGCATGGCTAAATCGAATAAATGCTGCTTTATAGATTTTATTAGGTAATTTTATAGTTTGGTATTAGGTTTCATAATGAAATAAATTATTATTATTTATTCCATTAGATTTTATAATCCATAGATTACATAGCAACAATTTTTACCAAAATGATAAAAATACTTAAAATGAATAATTAAAGTTTTAGCCTTGGAATTATCACCTAAACATATTTTGCCATTGCTTTCGAACGCCAAATTTGAATCCATGATCTTGTTATTACACATGCCATTAACACGCATCTCCGCCGAGTGCCAACTCAATGAGCTTCGATGGCAAACAAGCAAAGGCGATGCTTCGGAAAATATGCAGATTCTTGGGACCCAGATAGTAAAGCCAAACCAAACATAGAAGAGACGACGGCAGTATGGAGGACGAGGACCGGCGAGCCAGTAGCACTTGAAATTTGAATATAATATTGTAATAACTCAAGGGTCTACACAACAGAAGCGCCTCTCAGAGCGTCGCGTCGCCAGCAACTTTAGCACTTCAGTTTGAAGTTGGGGTCTGAAAAGCGTAAAGTAGTAAGAAACAGCAGGGGGATGGGGGAGTACCGGCTCTGAATATGAATACGAATATGAATCCCAATATGAATCGCCAGTCTCGTCTGGCGACTTGGGCCATATTTGCTTATGATAATTCGAGAGCAAACAGCGATCGAGTGGAATGGTAGCCGGTGGTGGAAACCGAATCGTAACGAAAGGCCTAAATCTCGGGGGTCGTGAATGTGCAGAAAAACAAAAACGAAACACACGATTAAACACCTCTCAATTATTGGAGTAGGTCTGGTTCCATCCATTCCCTTCCCGCGACCCTTGAAAGCTGTCAAGTGGTCCGCCATGGACACAGATGATTATGATGCCTCCTTGGTTCATCATCGGTTCCTCCTCGCTCCTATTGATTGAGTCACTTAATTTGCATACAAAAGTAGATTTGCATGCCTCCCTAGAGACCCAAAGATGTTCGATGGTAGATGGTCATGTTGCAACAATGGATCCACTCACCGGTACGCAAATACAAATACCGACAATACACAATCCACAGATCAAGTGCCAGGCCGTTAATAGTCGTCTATAAAGGCGCTAGGGCTTGTTCAAACGAATCCGAGCTAAAAGTTTAAATCAATAAATTGCGATGGCCGCTTGACATGAGTGGAGGGCATATTTTCCATGGAAAATTACATTGCTTTCGTAGACGATTTATGCTAATTTTAATTTGAGCAGCCGTGCGAGAAAGAAGCCGAGGGCTCGTGCTCCCACCTTCCCCCTAAATCGTAGGTACACTATATCATCTATATATCATCGGGTTCATTTCGCAACTGGGTGGAAAGACCCCGGCGAGTAGCACTTACAATGCCATTGGAGGACGGGCCCTGGTTCAAGGCTGTCCGATCTGTTTGTCCTCCCTGATTCACTTAATCACTGTCTGAAATGTATATCGCTGAAATGTATACCCAAAACATTGATAAAGCAAAATACAACCCACACAGATATCCTCTATGCTGATTCAAGCGGCAGGAATGCGTTTACACTTGGAGAAAAGCTAGGGAATATTAGAAAGGTGGGGAAGGGATTAAAAATGTCAATTTATGTAAAATATATAGCGTGAGATAGTGCTTAAAGGTACATGAAGGGGAGAGAGAAAGACACATTCGAAAATCGAACTAGCCTGTTGCTTACATTTTGAGCTTATCAATTTGAGAGGCCGCATATCAAGACAAGATTGATACTACGTAATATCAAATTGATCATCGTTTTATTTCAAGTTTTTGTTTGGGTGTAATACTGAAGTAAAAACATAATTTTATTTTATTCTTTTTATTTATTTTATAACGATCGTTATCCACAGGTAAACAAAATATATTTTACAATTTAGAAAAACCCATTTCTCAGTGTACTCTTGGCTACCTGTTGGCCCATTTATCCGGAACCGAACGGAAGTAAACCGAAATGCATTAGTCAAGCAGCAGGCGCAGGGGCAGCACCAATTAGCTGGGTGCTGACAAATTGCACAGCTATTGGCAGGGTCTCAAAAGGATCGATGTCTAATGGTTTGACGAACCTACCCAAGTAGAAAACGCAACCGGAAATGTGCGCGACCAAATGTGAAAACGCGAGGCATAAATTACGCGCAGACGGCACATGGCCAGAACGCAATTTGGGCGAAATGCCGGGCTGCTAATAGTAAATTAATTTCAGCCGCTTATCACCGAAAACCCGGCTATGTGAATATATAGAAATAATGCGTGGATGTGTCAGGCCAGCAAAGTGCTGTGTAAATTAGCTCGGCTAACTACATATTTACCTACATACATCGAGAGCCTCAGGAATTTCGCAGTAATGCAGGCCAGATAAGCCAGGCGATTGGCTTAATCTCGAAAGGAAGTGGCACTGGAGGCAAACACGAGACTAACGAAAACTGAGCACGTTTCGCCATCGCTGGCCCACATGGCGTATGCTTAATTTCAGTCAAAGTTCAACCCACTTGATTGGGGCCTTAATTAGTTTCGAATTTGTAAGCAAGCAGCTCCGACACGCGTTTCCGTCGTTTGAAACAAATGTTTTGCCAAGCTCTCTAAAAGGTCAGATCCACGAACAGCCAGCACCACCTGCATCGATCGTCGGCAATAGCTGGCTATGGCCTAAAGATATTGGTATACCATATACCAGCAAGTAGAGACGCCATATCGGGCCTTCGGATGCCGCCATATCAATGCCCGAATGACGCGGCGTCAAAGTCAAAATAACGCACAATTACACAGAGGAAAACATATATTAGATCATAAATAACGAACTAAAACGGAGATAGAAACACTTGGAAAACCTGTTTACTTTAACTGAAAAACTCGATAATATGCAATCAAAAGCAATCAGCATACGTGAAAAGAGTAAGGTAAGTGATGGTTCCTTTATCTGATATTAAGATCAATATATCTCATAATGCCCCGAACGCACTTAAAGTAAATATTTTTCAATAAAAAACCATCAAATTGCTGATCAAACAATATCAATAAATTCTTTTCTCTGTACGGCGGGGTAAAATGAAATAAATGAGCAGCAAAACGACAAACACACACGGCTTCTCGAGAGGCCAGACAAGAGGACCACCATGATGGCCACAGCTACACGGCGGCTACAAATGGGCAAAGCATAAATACACAAAAAAAATAAAAACACAAAAAGATGCCAAAAAGAGGAGACGGAGAAGAAACAATTTCAATCATCATGATCATAATTAAAAGGCAGCGAACGAATGCTCCCCGCAGCAACATGTTGCTGTTGCTCCGCTGACTGTGCAACTTCGCACTTCAGAATTAAACGCAATTAGAGCGAGCCGGCATTATCTGTCTGACATTAGACAGAGATGGCCAGCGATTCGTGGGCGGAGCCAGGGCACTTGGAAAATCGAGGCAGTTTTCAAAATGGAGGTGCCAAACCAGAGCGGGATGGCTAGCTCCCGCACTCTCTCCAGTTCCACAACCAATGGAGAACCCGCAGCAGGTAATATCGATCAATGGCTCAAGAAGCAAACGAGTCAAGCTCGTTTCTTTCCGCTCGAAATCGAGAGGAGCGATCTCTCGATCGACCAACGGAACTTGCTCAGTTGAAATGCGAACTTGGCGAGCTCAAGACACGACCGTCGGCTAAACACTCTCTCTTTAAATCCATATATATATTTGATATGTTAGCTGGTTGAATTGTAACCCACATACGACTCATACGACACCGGCGTAATCAAATTAACACCCCCGCACATGAGAGACTTTTGTGCGGTGATTTGCATAATTGACGCTAATCGGCGGTGTCTCGTGCTCGCCGGAAAAAGTAAACCCGGACTCAGAAATATATAAAAACAGATACCGCCATATGTTGACGGCGAGTGACAGTGCTTTGTGTGCGCGACAATTGTGCAAGTGACAATCGGCAAACAAAAGATATTAGACTATTTTTGGAACCACCATCAGCATGATCACCATGAACGAGCTGGTGGATCTGCGCATGCAGCAGCATATAGCGCACGAGATATATCGCCAGCAGATCATGCAGCGCATACCAGGTAAGCTTAAAAAACATCCAAACCATATCACTCATCCGCCCCGTTAAGCGTGCTGCAAAGCTGTTAAGCATCATTAGCATTAATGGCCGTAACTTTTGGCGAGCTGTTTCTTTCCGTTTCTGTCTCCTTCCCCAAGTTGGCCAAGATCAGCGGGGTGTGTGCGAGTGCCAGTGTTTATGGCCAGCCGATCATAAAGCTGAGTAATGTGGGAAAGTGATCGCCGATCGGGAAACTTGATATCAAATGCATTTAGCTTGTTGCCGACGATCGTTAAACAGATGGATCAGCGTACCCCTAAAACAAAATCTTTGTATGTAATCACATTTGCCCAAGTATGGCTCCATATTTTGTCGATCCCTAATGGAGGGCATTAAGTTTGGCAATCGGCCAACCATCAATGTTCCTTGTTCGCCAAATGAGCACTCTTATAACACCCCATCTTTGTCAGTAATCGCTTGGCTTTCAGTCGTAAGATCGATTTTGATAAGCCTGAAATATCACAAGTCTTTAAGGTATCACCTTAATTCAGACCCACGCTCAAAAGCTAATGGCAATCATTAAGGCATTCAAATGAATTTCTTCTTAACAGGAAATCATTTTAAAATGTTCCATTGGTAGGTTTACATTTTGTATGAAAAACTTTATTTCATTTTTAAATCAAATTTTGTTTTGATCACGTTTCCAGTAAAATTTGTGAAATGGTTTAACTACATTTAATCGACCAACGTAATTATTGGAACCCCTTAAATTATTGCAATACTGTGACTAAATTTGTATAAATTATAGGAGTTTTGAATAATTCTTCAAATCACATGTTCGATTAATTAAACTTAAATTAATTAATCTTTTTTTTAAGAAACATATTTACATAATTTAAAATATTCTCGTTATTAAAAAACAAATTTAAACCATTTTACTTGTTTTCCTTTTTTTTAAATATTTTTTAAATAATTCTAAATTATTTTTAGATCCCTTTCCACCGATGCTACCGATTCCGATGCCTCGGCACGTGATCATGCCACCCCGAGTCACCCTGCCCGGCGTGGAGATGACCCTGCAGAACGACGATCTGTGGAAGCAGTTCCATCAAATTGGCACGGAAATGATCATCACAAAAAGCGGCAGGTAGGTTCAGAAACGCCTGAGATCTTTGATCACGAAAGAGTGGGGGGAATCTCAAAAAACAGACTTCAGAGTTTAGAGTTTAGAGATCGGGAACAAACATAGATCGGGCGATGCATTAGCACGAACGTGAAAACTAATACCCCAGACGCAGGGCAAAGAAAAATAAACCATCCAACAGGCGCGGGCACTTAAAGCACCCTCTATACCATACCGCATACCGATCCCTATACCGATCCCGATTCAGATCCAGAATCGAGGATCTGCTGCTGTTAAACGCTCATTAGAGCGCAGGCGCCTGCAAATTGTTTACAGCGGCGTCGCGACACCAATTTTCACAGGCAAACAAGGCGGAAGGATGCACTTACTTGCGCTGGCAGGATGTGAAAATGGTATGAAAATGGGAAATGGAAAAGCGTACCTGCTCGCAGAGCTCGAATGCATAATGGACTATCGCGCGAGGCGTAAAGCGGACAAGTTCGCCGGCACTTTGCGTGCCCAGATTGGAGATCACTACGAATCAAAGGCATAGCGCGATCGCCCGGGGCTAGTTTATCGTGTCTATCTATCAGATACACGATCGGTCCAGCTTGTCCCTACTGCGACTACGACTACCTAAAAGTGTCCGGCACTTGTTCGAATGTGCGTAAAGTGGCGTCATCGTAATTTATTGTCGGCCGGCCGAACGCCGAGCTCAGTTGGACGTCCTGTCGGTTCGTCGGCGCTCCTTTATACCTCGGCTGGCATAAATCTTCGCGTCAAGGATACTTTGTCGTCATCTTTGTAGCTCTTAGCGTTTTTATTGTGGCGCCTGGTCGGTTTGGTTTGGTCTGGTCTGGTCTGCAGACCAAAACCCGATACCCCGAAATATCTTCGCGTTCTGCATTCCCTCAGAACAGAAACGCACATATCTGTATCCGTATCTTTTGGCAGTGACATCAGAGTGACCACAGCTTGTCGACAGATACGAGCAATTTCACACTTGGCCTCCGTTCGACATTCGAATCGATCGAAAGGGTTCCCAAACGCATTAGCATCAACTTTTGGTCTCCAAACTGCAGCCAAAAATTCTCTTCGAGCGCCGAACAACCCTTTTGTTTTATATATGCCATGAATTATTCATAAAGTCTGCGTATTAAATACTTTTTATGCTCATCAAAAATGTTTTATGGGCCTCGGCGGAGAGGTCGCGATGCAATCGATTTGAATTTTTAATGATTAGGCGCCAGAGTGCCACCGTCTGCCCAATCGCATCCCGATCCCCGTTTTATTTACCATTCAGATCCGATCCCAAGTCCAAACTGAAACTCCAACACAGACCTATGCCTATGCCAAGTGGCTCCTATAAAAACTAATTAGTTGCTTGTCTGGGCTCCGTTTGCCACTTGAACCGTTCCATCTTTTTGGGTGGTAAAAGCGCAGACGGCCATTAAAGATAGATAGAACAAAGCGTATCGGTTAATGCCTGACGGCGGCGAATGAAATGACTTTGTCACGAAGCTTTTAAAGTGTGTGGGCTCGGCTTACCAGCTGGGCTAAATGAGAAGCGCCAAGAGAGGCGGTAAACAGAAGCGACACGGTAACCTCGATGAGAAGCGCAAAGATAGTCAGGAATATTCAGTTGTCTCCTTCACTTTACTTTATTTTTTGGAAAAATTTTTAGTTCAGAACTTATTTTCAATCAAAAGGATTAAATCAAAATTAATGCAACAGTAATTATATCCCTTAAAAATAGCAATAAATTAAATGCAAATCAAATATCACTTTTTAATACCTTAAATTGTATAAAACACATCAATAACTTAAAGATTTAGAAGTTTGTATTGCTGTTTCTAGTTTCGTAGCTGTCAATAAATAAATAGTCTCACTTTTAATTTCTTAAATATGCTAATTTTTGGAATATCAAGCAGGCACCCATGTGGAATTGTTTAGAAAACATTTGAGTAACAGGGTGATAGTTTAGGGGATATTTTAGGGGACTTTTCTTCCAGCCAGGAATCCGATCCCCGGGCGCATTCCTGGACTGTGTCCCTGCACCTGCCAAGCGTCAAGCGCCAAGTCGAATGCCGAATCCCGAATGCCGTCAAATGGTCAGCATGCTCCTCACTCGCAGCCGAAATTCCTCTCGTAATTATGCGCAGACGCGCCAAAGATATCGATCTTAACAAATCGTTTGTCCAAAACCAGACAGCGGACTCTTGCCAAAAAAAGGAAAACAATAAACAAAAACTGAGCAGAGCAGAGCCAAATTGAAAATGAAATTCTAAACCGCACAAATGTCGAAATATTTCGGTGCTGTGCTCTAATGGAATTCAACAGAGCTGAAAGGCAGTCCCAGCCGAGCCAGAATCAAATTAAACGTTAGCAAACCAAAGCGCAGCGGAGTTCAATTAATTAATCATCGGCAAGGAGAAACACGGAATCATTGCCAAAAACAAGAAACCACTCGAGAATGGAGATGACGATGGGTAGGATGGGTACAAGGATGAGGACGAAGGGCAAACATTTTTCGGGCTGGCGCCAAGAGCCGTGGCCACCTGCTGTTTTCTGCGGCAGCGACTTGGAGTCGGAGGCGAGGGTCAGGGCCTCGCATCCTTGTTAGCACAGGCCCCTACTCCTTACTCCCTAGACCATACTCCTCCGGACTCAATCTCTATTTGACCAGGCCTAATTACATGGCGCATGGAAGGGAAATCTCACAATTAAATATTTGTAACGCCCACGCAGGCCCATGCTCCTTTTGTCGATCTAGCATGACTATATTTGAGTTTGTTCGGTAAACAAAGGCTCTACGATTTTACAGGCCTTTTCCTGGAGTTCCCCCTCTCAGCATTCTTGAGGGGAAACAATATAACAACGGTTCGGTATTTGTTTGGGATAAAATGTGCTTTATCTTATATTTAATATCGACAAAGCCTCGATAGCGTCTATTGAAATACTAGGTATATAATTAATAGTAAGACTAAATTATAAAATAAAGAAGGGATAATTTCAATAAGTCTATTTAAGTTTATCAAGTTAATCAAAAAGGTTTTAAATTTAAAAATATAATGACGTGGTATGTATGTGGCAGACCCATAATTATCATGTTGCATTGAGATCTCTATTTATTAATATCGTATAGATATGCATCTCTTAATATGTTTGGTGATATGGTCACACATAATTTCTATGATTTTTGAATTTGTAATTTTTATAGGTTTATAAGACTTTAAAATGTATTAATTTAAATTTTAAACGGAAGTAAGGCCAGATGTTAATATTAATATGGGATATTGATTTATTTTATTTATTTTCTTTTTTCCCCGAAAACAGACGAATGTTCCCCTCGATGCGGCTGAGTGTTTCCGGTTTGGAGGAAGAGAGCAACTACTGCGTGCTCCTGGAGATGGTGCCCATTGGCGACTGCCGCTACAAGTTCTCCGGATCCCAGTGGGTTCCGGCCGGAGGAGCCGAGCCCCAGAGTCCGCAGCGGATGTACCTGCATCCGGATAGCCCCGCCACAGGTGCCCATTGGCAGGCGCAGCCCATCCTCTTCAACAAGGTCAAACTGACCAATAACACGCTGGACAACAGCGGCCATGTAAGTGCGCGCAGGGCTTTGAAGTCGTCTCCGATTACTGATCCCAATCCGAATCCCAATCCCTTTTGCCAATCCGCAGATCGTCCTGGCCAGCATGCACAAGTATCAGCCGCGTCTGCACGTCATACGCACCGCTGATCTGGCGCAGATTCCCTGGGCCCCACAGCAGGCCTTTGTGTTCGCCGAGACCGAGTTCGTGGCCGTGACAGCCTACCAGGTAAGTGGTGCTATCTGGAATCATACTTTCCATACCCTAACTTTGGCTATAATAAATTGAGGCACATATCTGTGAACTTATTAGGGAAGTCGAAGTCTCTGCTTGTCGAAATAGTTACGTAGGTTAGTTGCTTGATTTTTAATACCCTTTGAATGGTAATAACTAGCTTATAACTGATCATTATCTTGGTTTCTTTCTCATAAAACTTGTCCAAAATATTTAATATTTTCTCTACAGAAATATAATTAAATGCAAAAGATAGGCATCTTGAAATATGAATTATGATCATAATAATTGAGTTTACTAATTTTTTTATTTAATAAATTTAAAATTCAAAATTAAAATTACATAAATTCCATATAAGTCATATAAAGGTAGTCAAACTTGGTAAAGTGTTTTATTTATTTTAATAGGTACGGATTGGTTTAAATAACGAAGCCAAGCTTAAACTCAATGCATGTTATCCTAAATTATTTCATTAACATGCTTTCAACAGACACATTCAAGGTTCTGTAAAATCACAGAAAGACATAATTTGGAATAAATGTTTGGCCAAGAGTATTCGAGTCATGTGTCCTCGAAGCTAGCCTTCCTTTTTCTTGTGCGCACTTTTTTGCCAATTCATTGAGCACACTGGCCCAGAGACCAGGGACTGGGAACGATCACACTAATTGGTTAATTTTGGGCAAACGAGCGGCGATCGCTCACGCCGTGGGTAGCTTGGTCAACGTCTCGAATTAGCATGGAACGCCTCCGAGATGCGAGATGCGAGTTTTGAGATCCCAGTTCGGATGGTGGGCAGGCAGAAAGTCAGCGGGTCGGATTGTTGTTTTAGGAAGTTGGATAGCCACATCCTTGTAAATTTGAGCGCCTCGCTGTGTTTTTGTCTAGGTCTGGGCCCATTGACAGCCGACGCCAGTCTGCCTCTAATTAGCAAGATCGCCGAAGGATCCGAGAGATCCGAGAGATCGGAGATTCGAGTTGAGAAATCCGAAAGATCACAAAGTTGTCAAGTCATCTGGAGTGGAACGTTGAAAACTGGAAACCCGGTCTGGTGTCAAGTGGCCATGTTACTTAACGCCAGCTACTGGACGCCAGTGACTTATCCTTCCCCATTGCTTAAGATTATGCTGGCAATCGTCATATTTCACGCTCGTCTTGTCTTCTCTTCTTTTTTTTACTTCCGCAGAATGATCGCATCACCAAGCTGAAGATCGACAACAATCCGTTTGCCAAGGGCTTCCGCGAAACGGGACAATCGCGCTGCAAACGCAAGATGTCTTCATCGCCAACGGGCGAGGATCAAGATCAGTCGCAATCCCAGTCACTAACCCAATCCGAGTCTGACATGTCGCCGGCGAAAGGCAGCAGTGAGTCGACTGGAGGAACATCAACGATCGGCGATTCGGATGGTCCGCAAATTAAGCGCCTGAGATCAAATGGCTCCGCCTGCTCCTTATCGTCATCGCTGGACGATCAGTCGGCGCCTGGCGCCAGTTCCCTGGCTCTGGGCTCCCCGCCGCCCCATCTGAACGGGCATCCACATCAGCAGCATCCCCTCCAGTCGAGGAGTGCCTCCAGCGTGTTCATGCAGCACTTCCAGCAGAATATGCAGAGTCTGCTGAGGCCCTCGCTTGTGGACCTGGCCTGCACCTACTTCGGGAGACCCCATGAGTATGGAGGTGGGGTTCCGACCTCGCCCCTCTACTCTCCAGCAGCCATTTTACAGGCAGGCCTGGGTCCACATCCTGGCCTCAACCTGCCCCCGGGCATTTCCGGTGCCGAGCTCATATCCGATGAGTCGGGAGCCGAAGAACTCGAACTGGATGTGGGCAGTGAGGCGACCACAGTGGAGCAATCCTCACAGGAAGCAGCACCAGAACAACCCTCCACAAGGAGCAAGGGCTTCAGCATATCGGCCATCTTGGGGGGAGGAAGTTAGGGGGATTTTAGTTATATGATAGATCAAGCTTTGGAAATCAAGAATATAGACAACTAAATAAATAAATAAACTTTGGAATTTTAACTCAACTTTCTTTTGAAAATAAAGAATTCGGAGAAGTGTAATTCTTTTTAAAATAATTTCTTAAATTTTTTAAGAACGCTGTAATCTTAACTCCACTCATTTAAATAGGTGTTTTATAATATCTTTATAAAATGTACAAATCTAGAGTCTTATTCTTGATTTCAGTAGGTGTTTAAACTTACGCATTGTACTCATTTTGATATTATACAGATCCTAGCCTGATTAGTAAATAAGCTAAAAATAAATACTAAACAATTAAAGTAAACTATAAGAAAATCAATTTGTTTTATTTCACGTAGGATTGTAATATTTCCTCCTGCTGAGCTGAGCTCTCAAAGCCAGAACGCCCAGAACCATCGCTGTAGGTAAATGAACATATCGGAACGGAAAAATACTACCGGCAGTTGGCCCTCTATCATTGGCCGATCTTGGGCTGGAAATCACAACTTCCGCCAGACATTAATCCCAACCAATTTACAAGATAAACGTTTGGGTTTCGACAACATCATCAGGGCATCCTACGCCGCAGCATCCATCAGCCACACAGAGATGCGACTGGCTAGAACATAATTTGTTTGCAATTAAATAGCTCGACAAGGCATGAAATTCGGTTGCAGCCCTCGGATGCTACCCCAGAGACTGGAATCCCGAGACCTAAGATATTTATGAAATGGGCAGAGACTGAGACGAAGCCAAAGAAAATAGACAATTCGTTATGTAAGTTGCTGAAGAACTAAAGAACCGGAGGATCTTGGCCAGGGGCTGAACGGAGCCAATGATGAAGTTTACGATGACATGCGTCACCACCCACGTCTCGTCGGCATTCGAGGGCTAAAGGGGCGGTGCAGACACCGCTGCCCGCCCAGCCATCGGAAAAACAAACACGGTCGAATCAATTTACCACACCGGAAAAAATAATTGATTTTAAGAGATATTATCTTCCTTGATTTAGTTTAGAGCACTTAAATGTAACCAATATATTTAATATATTTAAAATTTTTAATATAACCATAATAATAAAGACAAAATTACATAAAGATTACATTCGCCATCTGTTTGTAACTTTGTTTATATTTTTGAATAAAACATGGTCAACTTTTTCTCAAAAATAATAAAATAAAATAACCCTATTGATAGCTCAGAAATAAATTGTATTCTATAATATTAATATTCAATATTATGTTTAATATATTTTACAAAAATTATTTTAAAATGTTAAGGTAGTAGATATAATTAAAAACTAGCAAAATTAGCCTAAAAATAATTAAATAAAATACGTGTTTTTGTATAACGTATAGAAGGATCTTGCAACTGTGGCTCCTGATATTATATCTCCTCAAATGTAAACTTAGAAAAATATCTCATATCATATGACTAAATATTTTTCTTTCGGTGTACCAAATCGATTTGAAATTGTTGCCTTTTGCATCGCTGTCGCTCTTGGCCTCTGGGGATCGGTTCGGATCTATTGGTCTGCGGTTTTATAGGGGATACGAGACTAGAACGGGTGACAGATGTCGGCCGTGTGTGCGAGTGCGTGTGTTGACAGGCGCAAGGTTGTGAGTGCAATGAATGCCTCATTAAATGGCTGTACTTCCCTCATCCGCACCCCAGAACCCCATCCCCAACCCCATCCATCCATCCAACCATGCACCATCCACGGCAGATGTCGCAGGTCCCCGGATAATTAATGCACTATGGCTGTTGCTTTTTACGCTGCCACATTTGTTGCCTATTCGCTGCAAGTTGCCTCTTTCTGTTATGCTATGAAATTAGATACACTTTGTCGAGCAGCATTTTTGTTGTGTAAACACGAATTTGGGGAACTCGAAACAAAAAGAAAGGGGCAAATTGTTTCCTAAACGAAAGTTAATTAGTTATTAGGGGGAACTGGCACTGGCGGTGCTAATGAGTTGGAAAAGCATTTTACACAGCGCACGCGTGGCTGCCACTTTGAATTGAGACTTGATTCTGTAAGAGTTAAGGATTCAAGAGGCTAGCATTCAGGTGTTTTATATTTTATATTTATTATTTAAATTTATCTGAAGAGACTAAAATTATAATTTAATAATATTATAATGTATTAAAAAAAGATCCCCGAAAAGTCATGCTTTTAAACATCATCATCGTTATATTTGAGTCTTGATATATTAGAATTTTAAAGCCACTTAGGGGTCTAAGTAATAATATTATAATTAATTAAAAAGATCTCCGAAACATGATGTTTCAAATCATAATAATCGTTATATTTGAGTCTTGGAATATTAGGATTTTATATTTTTCTCTGCGGCTTAATTTAAGGCACTTAGGGTTCTATAGAAGATCTTAAATCCCGAAGAGCCTCCGTCTTAACCCATCTCCAAACCATCTCAGTCTGCGCCCGGCGTTAGGCAAACAAGATGGCAACAATGCGGTGGTACTTGAGTTTTTATTGTTGGCCAATGCAAATATATTGGTCGCGAGGAGAATGCAACAAAGCGTGGCAAAGAAAGGTTTCCGTGTCGCCGGAGCCAAGCCATAAAACGGATGCACCGACCCAGGTTGTCTGTGTTCCCAAATCGACCTGTACCATCGACCATCGACCAGCCATCCCTACTAAGCTGGGGTTTTAAACTAGAGCAGAACAAACCCACCACCGAGATGAGGCTCAACAGCAGGAAGATTGGCCATCGGCCAACAAAGGCCGTAAAAGCAGTTTATGCAAATGGGCTCACATGTGGGCTGGAAAATGCATACTACATATATGCGATCTAGAGGAAGGGCGACCCTTTTGGGCTGGCACAATTAACAAAGCGTGTAATTTCTCAAACCTATCGTGTGAACAATGGCACAAACAATTAAAGGATAATGAAAATCACCCACATAAGCAGGTCCACTACAGTGCTCGCCGGATGGGTTGGTGCATATATGATCTATATGATGGGCAAATCTGGGGATCAGTTGGAAAATACTCGCAGTGAAACAATCAAAACCGGAGCACAATGGCCGTCGTCAAGTACGCATATCCCGTACGGCGGTATCCTTCGCATTGTCCTCGCTTTGTTTACAACTCTATTGAGTGCAAAATGCAGCAGAATTGTCTCAGGTCATCTATTTGCATACTTGTGTTGTCCTCGAAGACAAACCGCAGAATCAAATTCAAATTACTACGCGCCATTTAATGGCGCAGAGTTGCCATGTTCTGCGAAGTATGTTCTTCGCTAAGCTTTTTTATCAAAAAACATAGGATCATTTTCACACTTTTGATATATTTAACATTGTACTTAAAAAAATTTACATATTTAAATAGTGCAATTTATTATTTAAGATCAGTCTATAAATTTTGACCAGAAATACTTGAAAATATTTTATTCGGATACATTAAAATGTGTAAAGTAACTATACAAATACAAACAAATAAATAGCAAGAAAAAACTAAATTGTTTCTCTTTTTATTAAGTATTTGCTTTTGCTAATTAATTTTAAGTACAATTAACAAAAACTACGATAAAAAATCAGGTCGTGTAGAAAGGGCTTTATTTTAATGACAAGTGAATAGTTCTGCAACCCTGGTAGCTGTCATTTTGACTATTGCGCCATTCGAAAAAAAAGTTTACAATCAACGCAAATTGAAACGAAAACCACGCAAAATGAGCTTCCTTGCCAATAATGGTGACTCGGACTCGGAGGACAATGACTCCTTCCACTCCTTCTACCAGAGCGAGACGTCCTTGGACAACCTGAGTCTCTCGCTCTCGGAGAGCGACGCCGACAGCGCCGCGGACTTTGAGTCGGGATCGGAGCACGAGACTTCGTTGGAGAATGTGGAGAATACGGCAAGTAGACTGGCTTTTATATAGCATATAGTCTTAAGATAATCCGTCTACACAGATCGAGGAACCCGAGCAGCGGAACCAGGCCGCAGGGGAGACTTCCAAGCCCGCCTTTTCGGGGGTTATCCTGAAGCAAAAGTCGCCCGAATCGGAGATCCATTCCAGCGACTCATCCGCCTGCGATGGCGTCTCCACCGGCAAGGCCACCCAGATGACAAGTCGCTTCAAGACCTCCAAGAAGTTCACCATCTCGCCGCTAAGTCAGCAGCTGCCGGAGCCCGTCTTCTGTTGCCCTCGGGACGTGCCGAAACTCTCCTCCAATGAGGTTCCCAGCCACGACGCCTTCAACTTGGACCAGCCAGCATCGGCGCTAAAGGAGCACCTGACCACCAATCGCCAAGCGGAGGCCATGCAGAAGTACGCCTTCACCCAGATATGGGTTGGCTCGCAGCAAAAGCCAAGCCAACCCAAGGCTTCTCGCTTGCGCGAGTTCTCCGTGGCCCTAGAGGACTATTTCGACAAGGATTCCTCTAATGGGAAGGGTGATTCGGAGGCTGTCAAGAAGAACTTGGAGCCCGAGCCATCTAAGGTGCGTTTAAAGAAATATCCTATATTTCAATTTAATTGGAACTGCTTTCTTATAAATGTACTTTCCCTAAATAGTACGATATTTCATCTTTATTTATGAACTGCACCTCTGAAAAACACCTAAAAACGCCTAAAGTTCTCTTAGAAATATGATTATTACTAGTCATCGATTTTAGGTAAAATCGTTTTTTTTAAATATGATTTAAAGCCACATTTGATTGGTTACAAATTTTATTTATGAAGTTATAATTAGATTTAGGCAAAACTGAATTGAGGTTTCACCTTAAATCCGATGTCTGATTATTACTAAATTAACCTGTAACCTGTAATTGTATTAATTTAACTTTTCTAGTTCTATCATAATTTTCGAATATTTATCCCTACCTTCAATTTATTTTTCAGACCGTTGTGGCTCCTCCGAAAAGTGTGAAGGAGGAGAAGTATGTCTCCCCCTTTCCGAGTGTGCCAGAGCAGCCAGCTTCGAATGTATCGCCTCTGTTAAAGGGAGTTAAAAGACCTATTATTGTGCCGGCTGGCTTTGATTTGAGCCGATTGGTGGAGATCAAGAATCCCAACCACTGGCACCGCCGTCCCCACATGCGCACTGGCGATCGCATCTACTAGACGTTAATCAACTATACTTTGATCATCTTGAACAACTACTATTATTTCTTTATCATGATCTATACTCAACTGATATTATTTCATCACGATCATCACCTACGCTGGCCGATTTAACTTAGTATATTAGGTGCTATCCTTCTGGAATCGATCGCATCTATTATACATTGAACATCTTGAACAACACTCAACTACTACTATTTTCAAAATCATGATCAATACTCAACGGATATTGTTTCATCACGATCATCCCCTGCGCTGGCCGATTTAACATTTATTATATTAGCTGTTATCCTTCTCGAATAAAGGACTGGGAACTACCAGAGCAATTAGAGCTCCAAACATATGTGACTGTCAAGCTGCGGCAAAGACATAATATCGCCAGCGTTGAATGGGAACGTCGTCGCCGGCTCCAAATGATTTCATTGTGCTGCCGATAAAATTGTCGCCAGCGAAATATGTTGCCCGTGACTTTGATTTTGGCCGCCGCAACATTAATTTCCAGGGAAATTACACATGCCTGGCTGGCTTATCTGGGCTCGCAGATCGCCGAGTGAGCTCGGGTCGGAGCTCATTTGCCGCTGACATGCGAACGTTTGCTTTGCTTTGGACTCTCTCCTGGGCCATCGCCATCGGATGCCAGCGGATGCCCCCAAATGAGAATTCAATAAATTTTCAGGTAAAGGTAAAGCCAGCAACGACAACAACACAATGGGCCAAACGTTGTCGTTAGTCTTTTGGCGACGTTTAACATGAATATGCAGTGTGGCTAATGTGGAGCCCATAAACACTTCCAGCGGCAACATGAATGGGCCGAAAAACAGGTTGCAGCTACGTGTGTGGTGGGCATCGGAATCGGTGGAATATTGGGGTCCTGGCTCTTAACAATTGTTTCTTAACGCGAACTGAGGCGAATGCCACCGTCGACGATTGCCCGTTTGGCCAATCATCTAGCCGGCTCTCTTTGGGGGCAACACTTGCGACTGGTGGACTGGTGGACCGGTGGTCCATCAAAGGAGCCGCCTCGTTTCCGCTTGATAGCAATAGCATTTGGATGTGTGATGGGACACCGGGACAATTGCATGTAAATGGCCACAGTTTCGCTAACAACTACAATGTGAAAACATCAATTACAAGAGACTGTGTATTGGGTATTCGAATTCGGACTGCTCGCCAGGATTGCCGGCGATCGTGGCGCTCAATCAGCGCATTTAACTTGGCGCCGGCGCCAGCGTTTAAGATGCGGCTCGCTCTGATCTGCTGATAAGCTCATGTCCATGTTGCTGTTGCTGTTGCTGCTGCCGATGTTGCTGGTTGCTGGTTGCCGGTGGGTTAGAAGCGAGGTTCCCCAGGAGTAGGAGGAGGAGGTGGGGTTTGGAGGAACAGGTTTTTATGCCTCGCATGCGGGAGATATGAAACCGAAACCAAAATCCCAACCCAAGCCAGAACCAAACCGAAATTATGTATTCGGCGACGACAGGCAAATGGAAGCATGCAACACAAATTGCTGGAACAGAATTCGAAGCGCAGTCATGGGAAGTTATTGGGGAATTTATTCGAAGATCCTCTTCGCATTCCCCGCATTGTTTAGACCAGAAAAAATATCTCCATCAAAATTCATTGGATATATCTATTTTATTTATGCCGCATTAAAATGCCAAAGACAATAAATCCATTACGAAATCATGTGAACAATTAAAATTGCATAATAAATACGATAAATACTGATGGCAAATACCTGGAAATCCTAATTAACTGCAAAATATCACAATTCAACTTAGACAACTAAACGCTAATTAAATGTACAAGGCACCGATTTCAGGCCAAATGGGAGCAAATGGACCTGGTTTAAATGGACGAGCTGGTTCCTAATATGTCCGAGATGCTGAAGCTGCTGCGTTTCGGCTTGGGCATTGGATCGCTGGGAGAGGCAGCTGGAGGAGGAGCAGATGGCGCGGTTCCAACCACATCCACAAAGGTGTCGGCATCAGTTTCTCGATCAACCGTCGATTCACCGCTGGAGGAGCCCGCCGACGAGGAGGAAACGGAGGAGGCCGGCGATGGCGGGGTGTAGGCCCAACTTGGATATCCGCCGATGTGCCTGGCATACTCAATGGCCGGCGGCGGTGGCGCTGGCACATAGAAATTGGCCTCCAGAGTGTCCAGCAGATAGTGACGCTGCATTGGAACGCTGGCATGTTGATTCCGCTGATGATGATGCTGATGATGCTGAGGAATTTCCTCCACCAGCCGCAACCGTTTGGCTAACGGCGATGGAATCGGGTTGGGATCCACCTGGGTTACCTCCGCCTGCGATGGCGGTGGCGAGTCATTGATCTTCCGCTTGCATCTCGACTGACCCGACTCACGGAATCCCTTGGCAAAGGGATTGTTGTCGATCTTCAGCTTGGTTATGCGGTCATTCTGCAAGGCAAACACGGGGGATTAGTTATCAGATCTCTTATTATGACCGAGATATAGGAGTACACACCTGATAAGCCGTTACGGCTATAAACTCCGTCTCCGGGAACACAAAGGCCTGCTGGGGAGCCCAGGGAATCTGGCCGAGATCAGAGGTGCGTATGACATGCAGACGCGGCTGATACTTGTGCATGCTGGCCAGGACGATCTGGAAAAGGAGAGGAGGATATAGAATAAGTTAAAGAGGTCTTGAAAATTAGGTATATTTCTAGCCATTTTTTATGCACAGATGAAAATTTAAAACTTGAGGAACGCGAAATAAAAGATGATATGATATGATATAATATGAACATGTCTTATTGATAAACTGTTAAAAATTGCTTTAATAATTTTTAGTTATTAACAGAATTGGAGCCATTTTTTGTACACAGATAAAAATTTAAAACTTTTGAAATGCGAAATTCAAGATGATATGATATGATATAATATGAATACCTCTAGTGATTAAGTGTCAAAAATTGCTTTAAAAATTTTTAATTATCAACAGAATTGGAGCCATTTTTTATACACAGATAAAAATTTAAAACTTTAGAAACGCGAAATTCAAGATGATATGATATGATATGATATGATACCTCTTCGTAATAAACTGACAAAAATTACTTAAATAATTTTAAATTATCAACAGATTTGGAGGTAAAAATATCCCAAGAAATTCCCAAGAGTGCTTAAAACTCACATGTCCATTGTTATCCAGGGTGTTGTTCGTCAGTTTCACCTTGCTGAAGAGCAGGGCTTGGGACTGCCAGTGTTTTCCCGTGGCCGGACTCTCCGGATGCAGATACATGCGCTGCGGGCTCTGGGGCTCGGCTCCTCCGGCCGGAACCCACTGGGATCCGGAAAACTTATACCGGCAGTCGCCGATGGGCACCATCTCGAGGAGCACGCAGTAGCTGGCCTCCTCCTCCAGGCCGCTGAGGGAGACCCGCATCGAGGGAAACATGCGTCTGAAAGGGACAGAGACAATAGTAAGTGGATGTTAGTGACACGTTTCCACCATAAGATCCAAAGCAGCCAAAAGTCTTATCAGCGGGAGATAAGCTGATGATGGGGGCGAGCAAACAGGCAAATAGTAAAATGGTACCAACCTGCCGCACTTGGTGATGATCATCTCGGTTCCAATTTGATGGAACTGCTGCCACAGTTCATTGTTCTCCAGCTTGGCCTCCACATCCCCGGGCAATGTGGGTTGCGGTGGTGGCGGCGGGGGCACAAAGTGTCCGGCGAAATTGGGCATTAGGCCGCAGAGGGGATCTATGCAGTTAGAGAGAAATCCAATCCGTTAGCCGACGGCAAATCGCAGGTGGGGATTGCTCCACTTACCGGGTAATCGTTGCATAATCTGCTGGCGGTATATCTCCTGGGCGATCTGCTGATGCATGCGCAGATCGGCGATGTTGGGCAAGGTCAACATTTTGGGGTCTTTTTATGCGAGGTGATATGTAATCTTATTTTTATGCGTGGTGGTGATACTATTCCGTAGGAAAGTGAAGTGAAACACGAACTGATCGCCTTGCTGTCCAGATTGAGACTGTCTCTCGGGGTCTCAGAGCGGGCACTACTTCGATTCTGCCAGAATCCGGTCCGTTGGGTTCCTCCCTCTCTCCGCTCTTCCCATGCTCCGATCCTCAGGTAGTCGCCCGACCTGTTCTCATGCTCAAGTGGCTCACCACTTACTCACCCGCTCTCTCGCTTCCACTCCCTCTGCAGATATCTCTTTATATATATCTCCCTGCCATTGGTTGCTTATCAGCGAGAGCTACGCCATCCCGCTCTCGCTCGCTCCGCCAGATGGAACGCCATTTTCGTAACGCTTTGGAGGGGGATTTTGGGTTCTGGTTCTGTTTGTGGTGACCTCCTCCCGCGGAAACTGGGGGCACGGCACCCATCTTGCTGCTGATAGTATTATACGGAAAGGGGATCGGCATTTGGAATGGGGCTTTTCTGGGGAGAAATGGGGAAGCGCTCTTTGATGTCGCCTAATCGCATGTAATATTTATGGAACTGGAAAACGTTTTGGATATGGGCTAACCAATAATGTTCGGCGAGATTACGTTCTTCTAAAAATAGGAAGCTGTAATTCTGTGAGCACGAGGAAAACATTAAAGAATAGGTGGTGGTAGTTTTGACGAGGAATTTCGAAAATACTACTCAAAAAATCGAATTATCAGATATGTTGGGGAATTATAATTATAAGAAGTAAACCGATTCTGTAATTTCCGATTTCCATATTACTTTTCATTTGTGTAGTCACGCCAAACCTAAAAATATAAATACAACAGTACTTTTCTACAAATATTTTAATGAGTGTAATAAAATAATAATAGAACTTGCTAGTAATTTAATAAATGAATAAAAAACACAAAAATTCCAAAAATTTCGTATTAATCTTTGCTATACTATCAGTTTAAATTACAGTCTGGCTTTTCGTCTGCGTTTTACACATTCCGTCACGCCAAACCTCAATAAACTGAAATTACTATAAAAACTCAGAGATTAAAAAAATGAACTGTTTGAAAGTATTTCTATTTAATACAAATTTATAGTAGTTTAACAAAGGATATTCAATTGAGCATTTCTAAACCAGTTCTAGTACCACACAAAAAGTATCGTTTAATATATTCAAATTTTTTAAATGCCTGATTCAATTTCTTAAAATTCTTTAAAACCTTTTAGCTTCTTGAAAATGTGAAAAACCTTCCCATAGTTATCCATTAAATCAAAAACTGTGTTTCTGAAGTATTTTAAAAAAAATGTAACATTTCGATCATCGGCCCTTTTGAAAGCGCACTTGAGTGTCAAACCTTCGATATCCCCCGGAATATATATCTCGCTGTCATGATCAGCACCCATCTGTTTGGGAGCGTTTAACTTATCTGCAATCGGCCTTGCATCTTGTAGATGCAACGAAATCTCGCCGCTACCGTTTGCAACAGAGGGTCTCTAGAAAGAGATCCGCCCCGTGATAAGTCGGGCTAATCAAACCTTTAAATGGTACTTGTACTTGATGCTGGGCCACAACAAATTGCGGCAGCCGGGAGCGACCATCAAATCAAACTGGCGCCAAGCCACTGTCGCCTTCGAGCCACTTGAACCTCGAAGTGGGATGGGTTGGGATAGGATACGTCTAACGGATCAGTCACTTGTTGCCACTTGTCCTGTTTTTTCGGCTGCCCAGGCGACGGTGGCGGCACAAATTCACAGTCGAGTCATAAAAATCATCACACTTTGTCCCCGAGATGCTGCCTCCTCATCGCTGGGAACAAAAGCAAAAGACCCAGAGGATGCGAGTTTTATGGCCTGGCTGTGCGACGACCGCCGACTGTTTGTGTCGCTGCAGTTTTCGAAATTATTGTTATGATTATTGCCTGTTTGTGGGTCTGCTCTACAATTTGTTTGCTATTGTCTGGCCGCCTAAATGTTGGAGACAAAAGCGGGCCGACAAAACCGCAAAAGGACATCGCTTGGGGGTACGAAAATGGGAACCGGAACGGAGTCCATAAAGATCCTTAACGATCGATGACCAGGTTTCAAATTACCTCCGGTGATGAAGATTTAATCCAGAGATAAGTATACTACGGGATGATCTCTACTGAAATGGTATATAGTAGATAGTAACTTTTCTTAGTGTTATCATAATTTCATATCATGGGAATTGTATTTCATATTTTTTCGTTGAAAATTAAAATAATTAATTAATCCAGAGATGGGTATTCTACGAGCTGATCTTTGGTGAAATGGTAAGAAATTGTTCATTTTTTTAGTGTTATGATATCATGGGAATTGTATTTCATATTTGAAAAACAAAAAAATTATGGTTCTGACAGAAATATATATATTTTTTTTTAAATTTAATTTTATTAAACATAAATTTCATCAAAACAAAAAATACCTTGTGAATGTTAAAATTCTAATTATTTTTTTCGATCTTGATCATATTTTTTCTGGGGATTGGATTGGCATTTAAAGACCTTACCCTAAATCCCTGCTCGCATTTCCATTACCCGTCTCCAGTCATTAGTCAGCCAGATATGCAATTTCCGGTAATTCGTAACTCGACTAGCTTTGCATAAACTCCCTGCCATATTTCCGCTTATTCCGGCAGGTCTAAGTGCCCCTGACCCGTCGCAGCCAAAAGACATGACTCAGGCAATTAGCGGAGGAAGGGAGTTGAGGAGTTCGGGAGATTCGGGATCAGGATAGCAGGCCCCGTCCAGACGGATTTGTGTCATTAGCGCTCGCGCTGCCCGCTGCCACTCGTGTCCGGCTTCATTTCCATTTTCATTCAGTTTTCGGGCTGGAAAAACCCGGGGAAATTCGGGCAGCGCTCACTAATTGCATGTTTGTTATCTTTGGGAACGCGCTTAGGCTACCTTACGCTAGATAAATCTGATAAACAGGCTTACATTTTGCACATGAATCAGACACATAAGATTTATTGTTGCTGGTTTTTTTGTTCTTTTCGTGGTTTACATGTAACTTTTGGCTTACACCGTACGTGGGTTAGATATTTGTTGTGTGCCAGGCCACAATCGTTCAATCGCCTGCATTATTTACTAGACATTTTCTCTTTATCATTTTATCATTAGCCACCAAAATGGATTGTTCGTTCCAGTATTCGTAATTCAGCTTGGTATTTGTTGTGTACTCTTCGTTAGTTTATTATAGTTTTATCACAGCTATACGTTTATATTTATTTGTTAATAATTGTGTGTTAAGATTGATTAAATGTGTTTCTCAATCCGTTTGTGATGCGGCCACAAATCATAAAAATACATTTACACCGAAATTGCCTACGAAAGAATGCTTAAAAAGGAATAACATACAAAATGTGAATAAAGTGGGAAGAAGTAGGAGAAGGGTCCTCCTTTAGGACAGCTCGAATCCGGTGTTGCTGCTCACGGCGTAGCGTAGTTTGTCCCGCAGCGTGGACTTCTTTTGGTAATTGGGCAGCTTCAGCAGGTTGAAGCAGGTGGAAGAGGTGGGCAGTCGGTTGAGCGGATCCTTTTTGCGTATAGTGAAGAAACCTCGGATCACACTGCCGATTGTGTCCCCCGTATCCTCGTCGTCACCCACTTCCACGCAACGAATGGAGAAGGGCGGCTCCAGGTGGGCAAAGCCCAAAAGCGGAGGCTTCGAGCAGCTGGTAACGAACTGGAAAATAATATTTAAGTTATTAAAGCATTAAATTGCATATAATAGGTAACAAAATACCTTTAAAAACAGCTTGCGCTCATCTTCCGTGAAATCCTTGGCCAGGATGTCCCAGAGCCAGCCCACCACACGATGGGAGTCGTGAAAGCCACCGTAATACTGTGTATGCTTTCGCAGATCCTTCAAGTCCAAGGGAACCGTGTCCCCAGAAATCAGACGCTGCAATTCCGGCGGTGAGAACAGAGATAGCCACTCCGGATTCACAATGCTGCGAAAGCCACGATTGAAGGCTATCGTCTGCTCGCGAATTTGGGTGTTCATGTGAAAGAAGGCCATGTAGTGGATGTAGACCAACTTGTTGTGGTCATTGACCACACGCGCCTTGCCACCCGGATGCAATTCGTGGGTGACAATCTTGCCCATTACATCCTGGTCCACGGAAAAGGTAAGGTTAAGATCGGCCACATCCTGCTTGTAGTGCTTGATAAAGGTTAGACTGCGATAAAGCTCGTTGTCCAACGAGGGCAGCTCGTCCATGCAGGAGTAGAGAGCCTGCTGCGTCTGGCCGAGCAGCTGGGAGAGGAAGAAGGAGGCAAAGGGCACGTCCACCACGATGCCCTCGTACACCGCCTTGCCCAGCATGCGGCCCACGAACTCGAAGAGCTGCAGATGATTGTCCTGGACGTAGGAGATGGGCGAGGGATATAGCCGCTGGTCCGAAGTGGTCTTGAAGAGATTCAGCGAGGGGTCAAACACCTTTTTGATGGTCTCCTCGAGGAACTCTTTGAACACTCCATCCTGATCAATGCCCGCCTCGTGCAGACCCTGCTGATTGATGAACCGCACCCGGATAACACCTTTTAGCGCCTGCGTAGGCTGCGCGGCCAGTTGCCTATATCCATCCTCCACAATCCGCTCGCGATGTATGACAATCAGGGCGGAGCGAGGCGAAGCGCAGGCACTCTCCGTCAGTCCCATCACCGCCTTCTCATTCTGCACGAACTTGCGGAACAGCTTGACCCGATCATCGTGCGGTATAATGTGCGGCATCTTGGCCAGCAGCAGCATAGCGTTCCGCTTGGCCTTCTCCAGGTCGTTGATGAACGTGGAGGGCTTCACCTCCGGAATGAGCCAGTGGTTGGGTGGCGTGAAGGGGCGACGGCAATCGCGGCGGTACAAGCAGAGCATAAGAGTGTGCAGCGAGAGGAAAACCGGATTCTGGACAATGCTCTTGGCACCTGCTGGAAATTTAAGTTGAATTTAATATTATAGTTAATTAAAAGTCTAGTAAACTCACCCAGGAGATTCTCGTTAATGAGTTTATAGAGAATATTATTAAGGAAGTAGGTTAACATCACATAATCGTTCAGTTTAAAAGGATTCTGCTCCGTATACATTTCATACTCATCCAGAATTCTATAAAAACAATACATTTACTATAGTATTTAAGGAATTTTTTAGCACAATCTACATACGTGACGTAGTGCGTCATGCAGTCGCAAAATAGCATCAGCATGGCGGTCTGCGGCTTTTGCAGATTAGTCTCCGACTTGAGCAGCTCCAGATACTCTTTCATTCCACAATTCGGACCCAGTGAGGTGATTAGCAACCAAATATCATACAGCACATTGTCGTTGTAGCAGATGCCAGTCAGAATGTCCAATTTCATTTGGGAGAGGGTGTTTAGCGCGGCATAGTACATGCCGCAGATGCGGGACACCTGCACCACATCCGCGTTGTCCAACTTCCGCCACTGCTGCTTCGTTTGCTTGCTGTTGGCCACTCCCATTAGGTTGACACCCCTCGTGGAGCTGCGTTCCAAGGCACGACGCAAAAGATTCGATGTGGATGGCTGCTGGGGGGGCTGGAACTCGATGCGCTCGTAATTAAGATTGATTTCCTTCAGGAGATCCCCCAGCAACAGTTTTATGCATCGATGATCCCACAGCATGTGAAACTGCTTCTTAATCAGCGGCACATTCTGATTCTGGGCGGGCTCTGGTCCGGGAGTATGCCAGCCCAGCAGCTCGTGCCACTGGGTGAACACTCCCTTGGTGGTCACCGTGTTGGGTATTAACTCCAGCAGCGATGTAGTGGTTTCCTGTAGGGATTTCATTATAAATTAATCGATTCAATAAGCGTTTTGCCACGACTTACAGTCAGTAGTGGGTAGGCCAACTCCTTGGACTCCCCCTGCCCATCAATGTTGAACAAATTCACTATGTTTCCCAGAAACGCCAGGGACTTGGTGCCCGGCATGCTGGCGCCAAACTCCTCGAACCACTGCAGATCACCCGAGATGCCCAGGGCCTTCTTTAACAGCCCCAAAGACGAGAACTGCTCCAGGCACTGCGGAACACTCTGGTGCAGATGGTAGATCAAGGCGGGCACAGACAGAATCTCCGACAGAAACTTGGTCAGCAGATTCCGACTGAAGTTGCCATCGATCAGGGGGCGCAGGCAGAGCGTTATGATGGCCACCAGGGTGACGGGCTTCACGGACAACTCCTCGCGCACAGTGCCGCGCAGCAAAACGAGCTGGAAAATAAAATTTCATATATCAGATTAAACAAATTTACATTATAAAAGCAACCAAACCCACCCGCATGGTTCTGTAGAAGTCGTGCTGCACCAGATGCCCCTGGATGTTGCAGCAGATCTTCTGCATGGCCGGCTGCACCTTCTCGAACTGGGCACTCCTGAGTATAGCCCAAGATTTAGGAGCCGTAAAGACCACCAGTGTGTGCAGGAAAAGGGCCAAGGACAGGCTGTCGGCATGGTTCTCGGGCTTGAGCTCGGGCAGCAATATCAGGCAGTTGGTGAGCAGTATCTTGATGTGCGCGATCCACGGCAGGCTGCGCTCCTTGAACAGGCAGAGGGCGGCGTAGGATAGCTTCGTGTTCTCCGTCTCCATGGCCTTGATGATGTAGCGGCAGATGCGCTCCAGACGCTCCCGCGAACGCACATCGCTCTTGTCCAGCTTGATTTGGGTGAGGTAGCGACGGAGCACCGGGTACACAGCGATGGCCTGCAGCTCCAGTTCCGCCTCCTTGTCGTCCTGACTTTCGGTGAAGATGGCATCGAAATCGTGGCTGTAAGTGAGATTTTTAGTTATGTTAACCTGTTTTATTGAGTAGACACCTACATGATCCGCTTCTGGTACTTCCTGCGCGCCGCGTATCCTTTGAGCGTGGACTGCAGTAGGATGGCCGCCTGCTCGCGACGCTTCTCCAGTGCCCGCTCCTCCCGCGCCGCCTTCGTCTGCTCCAGGAAGCTGGTTTTCTGGTTCTGGGCAAACATCTCTCACTGCAGCAGGTTGATGATGTTCTTATGATGATGTATGTTGCTGTGGGCGTTTGTTTTCGTTGGGATTGTCGCTGTTCCGGACCGTTTTCCTCGGTTCAATCACTTCCTCGTGCTGAGCGCTGTCCCGGGGCCTTGATTCAGTGCATCGCTGGACTTTTTCTGCATCGTAAATCCAGCAAATTTACAAAAATTACCTCAATTTTATTCCAATTGGTTTTGCATTCTTCTCTAGGGATGTGAAAAATATATATCGAAATGGTAATATATCGATATTTTTTAATATAATAAAACTGTTTGGGGTTTAAAAATATAAATGGTTTTATATTTAAAAAAAATGCATATTAATATTTATGTAAATTAAAATTTATTGAATTTAATTTCTGATTACCAATTTCCAACAAAAACTGCTTTAAGTATACATTATAATAGTATCCCGGCACTCGTTCTTTACTTTAAAATTAAATTGGGGAGTTTCGTATTGGTTCTTAATAACTAAAAACTGTTAGTTTATTTATAATTTCGTAATAAATAAAAAGAGATTAAAAACTTTTCTAGCTAGATCAGTGGTTTGCACCTCCGATACAGTAGCACAGCTACGAACCCAGGGTTGCTTTGTCGCACTACACTGCCCATTGCGAAAAGTAATCGACGGCTACCCACAAACTCATCGACTGTATCGAATACTCATCGATTTTGGTTCCAGCTCTAGCAACGCTGAGTTCGCGTGAATAAATAGTTAATTAATTGCTGAAAAAATGGAATAGCTGGCGAAAACATGCATCCAACCAAGTGCAACAGCAGCCGTGCGCAGTACTACGTAGTCGGGCGATTGTGAAAACACGTTGAGCGTACGCGAATGGAAGTGTGTGGCCAAAAAAATAAGTTATGGTTTAGCAAAAACAACAAAGCTAAAGCCCAAAAGTGCTAATAAAAAGTACACACACACGTCCACACATTCACACACACACACAGGCGCGCGCGAGCAAAGGTGAAAATTATAAATTAATAAATGCCCGATGCGATCCGATCGAATCCGATAGCATATCAAATTAGCGAAATATGCTCGATTCCCGTGCTGATCGGATCAAAACTGTGAATTGCAACAGAAAATAATTTCAAGGTTTGCAGCAGGCGAATAGAAGGCGAAAAGGTAATTGAAAAATAGAACGATTTTGGCACAAGCGCAGTGTAGCTATATATTTTTGTTGTCTGGCCGACCGTGGCTGCTGGGTGGGTGGGGCGTGATTTTGGGGGCCAATCTTCTGTGTGTGCGCGCTATGTGGTGAAAACAACAAACCCCCTTGCCCCAGGAAGCCCCCCACGCCACTGCAAGAAAAAGACGGCGAAACGGAAAGCGAGTGCAAATGAAAACAATTGACAGGGGAAGGGGAGGGGTGGGGGGCAGAGAGGGAGAGGGCGTTTCAAATGCCCTGTAATGCGCTGCTCTCTCATGTAATTTGCCGTAATTTCGCCCGTGCATTGCTCAGTGTGTCACTCTCACTCGCACTCACACTCACACTGCCGGATGTGTGTGTGTGAGAGCTCTCCCCATTTTCTTGACAGCAGCATCATCGTTCCGTTCCTTTTGGGCTGTCAGAAAAAAAGGCGCGCGCTCCTTTTCGCCCGTTTCGCTCTCCCTGTCTGCGATTCTGCTTCCCGCAGGCAGCTCCACCATTTTCTTTCTAAAACGCTGACGCCAGCGCCAATCATTCGCCATCAGCCGCTCCTCCTCCGCGGTGCTCCCCACTGCATCATCTTCCAGTGCAGTCTTCAGTCTCGTCTTCAGCTTCAGCTTATTGAATAGAACAATTCCCCGTTTCTGTGTGTCTCGTCTCTCTGCAAGAGATGCGGATATAATCATCATAAAGTTTATTCGTAACGTAAATAAACGTTAGGAATATGCAAAACGCCTGCGATCGCGACTGCTGAAAGGGCAGAAAAATACAAATAAAAGAACGTGTGAGTTTCCAGTATCCTGTTTGTGTGTGTGTGACTTCCAACAGCGTTTGTTGAACTTTGGAAATATTTGCAAGCCGGTTGGAAAATAACAGCAATTGCAGCAGTGACGCATAACCTCAAAGATCGACCCGGGCATGCACAAGTACCGTTAGATCGAGGCGCGCTAAACGGCTCTCTGCGCTCTCTCAGTCGCAAAAAGTAGAAAAAAGAATGTGAAATTTCGTTTTAAACGTTAAGTAGTAAAAAAGTAAACATCGGTAAATTCCAAAGCAGTAGCAGTGCTTTTAATGCAGTAATTGGGGCCCGTTATGTTTTAGTGCTTGCCCACACACACATACGCAGGGGCTCGAATACAGGGGCCGTTACATTGCCTCTGGTTTAAATTACAGTGGCCACTCGATTATAGGAACTGTCAAAGTATTTTATATACTAAAAATATATTTTTAAATTCTTGCGAGTTTACCATCATTTTGTTTTTTAAATGTTTTCTAATAGTTTCAATGACTCAATGATTTTTTTTAAATATTTTTTTTAACACTTTTGGAGTGCCCACTGTATAGCAGTAGAAACACGGGGAAAAAATCGAAGAAAGTCGCCAGAGCAAAAGCAACGGCGGCAGAAGAAACAAGATTCGAAATGGGCACACACAAGCGATGGCAAACGAAACTAAATGAAAAGTGCGAAACTGTGCAAAAAAAACCTAACCAAACTTTTCGCCCCCGCTCGCCACAACCCCTTCTTCTTCTTCTTTTCGCCCGCCCCGGAAATTAAAAACGAAACCCAAATCCAAAGTCGAAATTAACGATTTCGTATTTGAAATGTTTGTTATTTTATTGATTTATCGTCGCTCGTCACTCGCGCCATCGAAGCGAATCGAAGGTGTTATATATTTGTTGTTTATTTGCGTTCCTGATAAGCCAGTCAGTCAGTCCATGCAAATGCTAATTTCCATTCGTCAATTACAGATAATTGTTGTTGCTACCGCGCTGCCGTCTCCGAGCTTGTAAATTTAACAAATTAGCGAAAACTGATTTGATTAAATTCGAACGTTATTTGCGGCTTGAAGTTTATTTTATTATCGCCGCACGGCACTCTAATCCCGGCGACAAATTCGTGGAAAATAAGAGAAGTGATTGAGTCGTGATCACGTGGTTAGGAACTGGGGTATTTTCCTTTGAGATTGGGCCTAACTCTTAAGGTATTTTTCATAAAAGGTTAGGTTATTATTGTATCCCAAATTTCCCAATATTAGGGCCATTTTCTCATCCGCATGTTAAATTAAAAGGAAGCTTTAAATACTGATTTCCCATACGGTTTCATGGTTTAAACCGTTCTTTAAATTCGTTAAATTTCGTTAAATTGAAAGTATGGTTAAAACTCTGATTTCTAATGCGATTTCAAGGTTTTAACCCTACTTTAAATTTAACAAACGGACAAGAAAACGGACCATAGAGTAATTAATTTAAGCCCTACTCTAAATATTATTTTTTAACCCTTACAATGTTTTCTCTACTTTCAGGAAACGCAACCAAATAACCACAAAGAGCCGTAACAATTACAATACAACAAACTATAATAGACACACAGTCCCCGCAACCAAACAAGAAGCAAACTAACAACGAGATGAAGTACGCAACTGGAACTGACAACGCGATGTCCTCGGGCATCAGCAGCCAATCCCACAACTCTAACAGTGCATCCAACGAGATGCAGCCCACCACATCCACGCCGACTGCAGTCCACAAGGAGGCGACATCCACAGCCACGACGACGGCGGCACACGCCAATGGCAATTCCAATCCTAACGCCAATCCCAATCCTAACCAGAGCCAGCCGTCCAACGCGCTGTTCTGCGAGCAGGTGACCACAGTGACAAATCTCTTCGAGAAGTGGAACGACTGCGAGCGAACGGTCGTGATGTACGCGCTGCTCAAGCGGCTGCGCTACCCGAGCCTCAAGTTTCTCCAGTATTCGATCGACAGCAATCTGACCCAGAACCTGGGCACCTCGCAGACGAATCTGAGCAGCGTGGTGATCGACATCAATGCCAACAATCCGGTGTATCTGCAGAACCTGCTGAACGCCTACAAGACGTTCCAGCCATGCGATCTGCTCGACGCCATGTCCTCCTCCTCATCGGACAAGGATTCGATGCCGTGCTACGGCAGCGACTTCCAAATCACCACCTCTGCGCAGTGTGACGAGCGGAAGCTGTACGCCCGCAAGGAGGATATTCTGCACGAGGTGCTCAACATGTTGCCGCTGCTCAAGCCGGGCAACGAGGAGTCCAAACTCATCTACCTGACCCTCATCCCGGTGGCCGTCAAGGACACCATGCAGCAGATTGTGCCCACGGAGCTGGTGCAGCAGATCTTCTCGTACCTGCTCATCCATCCGGCGATCACCAGCGAGGACAGAAGGTCGCTAAACATTTGGCTGCGTCACCTGGAGGATCATATCCAGGCTGCGGCGGCGGGCCTGACTAATCGCAGTTACTTCCTGCAGCCCTCGCCGCAACTGGTCGCCGGTGGCAGCTCCACGGGCAGTGGTAGCTGTTCCTCCTCCTCGGCGGCCAGCTCCTCGACAGCCTCCTGTTCGTCGGTGGCCTCGTCCTCGCTGTGCCCCGCCGCCGGCAGCGGCAACCGATCCTCACGCACCAACGACTGGCAGACCATCGCTCCGCCCAGCAAACAGCTGCAGAACAAGCTAACCGGCGATTGGCGCGGCAGCGGAGGCGGCAGCGGCAGCTCCAGCGGGTCAATCAATCCACTCTGTGATAATCTCAATGGTATTACCCTGAACGAATTAGCTTCTAGTCAGAATAGCCTCGGCCTGTCGCTGGAGGGCAGCTCTTCGCTGGTCAACGGTGTGGTCGCCGGAGCGGGCTCAATGCTGGGAATCGGCGGTGGCGACGACCATGACACGTCGTTCAGCAAGAACGGCACCGAGATACTCGACTTTGACCCGGTCACCGCCGCGGATATGGGTGAAGCGTGCAGCCTGGCGAGCAGTAGTCTTAGAAATCCGGTAGACGATCGTTTGCAACCGCCGCCGCATCTTCAGCAGCAGTTGCTCCAGCCGCCGCCCTACGCATCGATCCTAATGGGCAATGTGGGCGATCAGTTTGGAGAGATCAATCGCTGGAGTTTGGATAGCAAGATTGCGGCTCTGAAGACTCGCCGATCGAACAGCCTCACCACGCAAACGATCTCGAGCTGCTCCAGTTCTTCCAACTCCTCGGTGATCACGGTCAACGACAATTGCTCCAATTCCACGGAGAATCTGGCCCAGTTCGCCAACAAGCCGCGCAGCTTTTCCCTATCCATTGAGCATCAGCGAGGGGCTCTAATTAATAGTGGCTCCGATACGCGTCTGGACGAGTTCAAGCCCAACTATATCAAGTTCCACACCCGCAACGTGGGCATGTCGGGCATCGGCCTTTGGCTGAAGTCCCTGCGTCTGCACAAGTACATCGAGTTGTTCAAGAACATGACGTACGAGGAGATGCTGTTGATCACCGAGGACTTTTTGCAGAGCGTTGGCGTCACCAAAGGCGCCTCCCACAAGCTGGCCCTCTGCATCGATAAGTTGAAGGAGCGCGCGCACATACTCAACCGGGTGGAGCAGGAACTATTGACGGGTCAAATGAAGCTGAGCACGGCCGTCGAGGAGCTGACCAACATTGTGTTGACACCGATGAAGCCTCTGGAGTCCCTTGGGCCGCCGGAGGAGAACATTGGACTGCGTTTCCTGAAGGTCATTGACATTGTGAGCAATACATTGCAGCAGGATCCGTATGCTGCGCAAGATGACGAGACTCTGGGGGTTTTTATGTGGATCCTGGACCGGTCCATTCATAACGAGGCATTCATGAACCATGCCAACCAACTCAAGGACCTTAAGTTTAAGCTGTCCAAGATGAAGATCTCCATGGTGCCGAAGATGCATCACGTTAAGCCAGCCGGAGTGGGAGGGCCAAGCAATGGAAACATCAACAAGCCAAGGTATGTTTTACAAACTCTCGTTAAGTTTATTCAGTCGTGTAATATTATTTTTTATTAGGTGGAATGGCAAGACTCGCAAGTGCGATACGAAGAACGGCAGCAACGATAGGATTAACAATCGCAAGAACTCCAACGACATGCTGAACTTTTCGCTGAATTGCCTGCAGCATCCGCTGCCCCATCACTCGCAGCAGCAGCCGCCGCCGCCTCTGCCGCAGTTTGACTACAACGGCTACGGCGGCGGACCGTCGCATCAGCCGCAGTACAAGAGCTCCTCGTACCCCAGCTTCATGGGCAATCCCCAGCAGCAGCAGCAGCCGCCACCGCCGCCCGGAAAGTCGCATCATCATGCCCAGCAGCAAATGCAGCAAATGCTGCAGCAACACAACCACTTTCCGGCCTTGCCGCAGCAGACACCACCGCAGTCGCATCGCCGGTCGCTGAACAATCTCATCCTGGTGGCCGGCGGTCCACAGCAGCCGCAGCAATTGATCTTCAAGCCGGGCCAGGGAGTACTTACCAACAATGGATCCAACGACAACCTGCAGCAGCAGCAGCAGCGGAAGCTCAGCGGAGGAGTTTCCAGTGCGGAGCAACAACCAAAGAAGACAATGGCCGCTGTAGTGATGGTTAGTAATCCGAATCAGAGTCAGGAGCAGCACGATCAGCCGCAGATCCTAATCAATAACAACAACAATAACAACAGCATGCTGAACAACAATTTGATTAATCAACAACAGCTGCAACTGTTGGCAGCAGCTGCCGCCGCCGTGGGCAGTGGCAGCTGTCTGTGCTCCAATGGTAGTAATGGTGGTGGTGTAACCGGCGGTGCCTGTGTCCACAATCTCTGTCACCAAAGCAGCAAGAACAACAACAACAACAGTCATGCCGTGGATCATTGCCTGTCCCAGCCACCGCTGGTCAACCTGGGCATGTCGCCCCACGTCACCGAGTACAAGATGAATGACTTCAAGAGCCTGGAACAGCTAGAGACGTTGTGCCGCCAAATGACTGAACAGGCAATGAATTGAGCAATGAATGTTCTGGGCTGCCAGAGGGATTGGATTGTAGGCCAGCAGTTTTTGTGTTCACTTAGCTTTGAACCGTGTTTGAAGTTTGATTTCATAAACGAACATAAATGTTTTTATATTTAGCTTTGTAAGATTCGTATCTATGTTTGTGTCGCGTCTAGTTGTCCCCCTCACAACCCCGATTTGTAATCCTTTTTAGTTAGTAAGCCGATATAGTTTGTTTTAATGTTAAGTTTATTAATTGTGTGCCAAGTGCGTCCCCGAAAGTATGATCAGCTGGCGGGGCTTGCAGGACCAACGGCTGGCCGTTGGACTTGCAAAGCCCATGTGCAGCAATCCCCGACAGAAGTCCCCAGGTCAGCTGTCAGCGGGGGCGTGGCATCTTGCTGTCAATGTTATTAATGTCTAGGTTTCGTAAATGTTGTCGCCATTTATGTAGTTAAACTAACATGCCAAGCCTCTCAACAAAAACCACACACATCGCAAACCAACACACAATACAGTAACTTTTCTCTATGTAGGAAAATTTGGCCAAATTTGATCAACACTTTACGCTATTCTAATCCTAATCACACACCATCAAGAACGTCGCCAAATGAATGAAAAATACCCCGCTAAGCGACGACGAAAAAGGTTTATCTAGTAAAAATTATAAAATGAACTCTGCATCGTGACCATGAGACTGACTAAGATTACTTTTCGCAACTATAAAAACTAGAAAGAAGAAAGCTGGATGGAGAGGGAATTGAAAAGTGAGAATTGAGAAATGAGAATTGTTTGCGCGAATCAAAACTAGGCTTGCTGAATGAAGTAGTAGTCACATAATGGATATGTTTATATATACACGTACACATAATTTATTTTAAATTAAAAGGAACATATTTGCTGAACCGTAACTGCACCAGAGGAAATCGCAATACAGCGGAAACAACCACTAGACTAAACTTTCACCGGGAAGAGTTTCAATGTTTCACTGTTTGTGTTTGAGAATCGGAACCAGAACCACATATTGTATTTTGTATAAGTAAGCGTAAGCGTAAGCCAAACCCGATCACGATCATGATCATCATCAATGTCATTGAGTAGCCCTATCTGTACTATTACTATTATGTTTGCTTTAGTCAATTGTTTATCATGTAAATGGCAAGCCAATCACTCGATATGTTATGTTTTAGTTGTTTTTAAAAAATTATATATATTTATATATACGAATGCATGTCGCATTATAAGCGTAGTAGGTTCAAAAACACGATGACGACGGAGGAGCGGAGCTGAAAAGAGAAGGCAGCCAAAAAAGAACTACCATAAGATCGTGAAAACGTGTAGAATAATTATGATTGTATAAAACCGAACAAACGCTTGTGTAAATCTTGCTTAGAAATGTTTTTGTTTTTTATTTTAAATTTGTTGTCGATATTTCCAAAATACTTTTGTTAACAACAACACCGCAACACTGTAAATCGCTGATGCTTTTATTTATTAATAAAAAAAACCTATTGTACGGCCAGTTGGGAAACAGAAATAATCGAAACTTTAGCGAGTTCAAAACGATCCACAAAACTGAATGGTTTAAATGTAAAGTGCAACTACTCGTAGACGAAAGTGCATAAGTCAGTTAGATGTTCGCAAGTTTATCAGAATGCGAGCACAAAAACAAGCGTGTACCTACCCACACATATACACACATACAATACCTACATATATTTATTTTCAATAAATTATTTCGAGAATTAAAAATACCCCTGCTGTTTGCCTAACAACCCAGGTTGCCATGCGTCTCCGCTTTTGTTGTCCGGCGTAAAACAACTTCAAACCGAGGTTAGCCTTCGAACACGACACACGAAATTGTCGAAGCAATTTTCTAAAATATTTTTTTCCGTAGCCAAAAATTATTAGATTTACAGAATGAGCCGACATCGCTTTAACAACGTCCAAATCAAGGCGCTTCCGGGCGGACTAATGGCACACCAGGAGCCGGAAGCGGATGGTGGTCAGTCCAGTGCCCAGAAGATGCCCATATGGCCCAGCGAACGTATTGCACCCGGCGGTTCTGGAGCCTTTCACTCGGCCAAGGTGGAGTACAGCAAGGAGACGGCTGATCTGATCCGATGTAAGTGGGTTTATAAGTAGCCGAAGCTATTCCTTGAAAACCTCCCATTTAGTGCTCGTCAAGGAGTCCAAGATGTCCATGATGGTACGCAAACAGATCGATGAGAGCCTGCGCAATGGAGCACCTTTGCCACTTCCCGAGCCGCCGCGTCCAAACACCCGGAACGATCCTGACCGGGAGACACTGGCCATTTTGGAACGTGCTCGCAACGCCAAGCGCAAGAATCTCCGCCAGATCGAGCAGAGCGGGGCCTACAAGCTGAGCTACTATCGTCCGCCCGCCGACAACCGAATGCCTGGGGAGAAGGCCAAGTCGCAGCTCCAGTTCACCATGGCGGGGACTCATCTGCCGGATCCGGCAGTCAAACCACGACGTCGTCCACGCGAGGAGCAACTGGTGACGGAGGAGGATCTCATCAATGAGCGTAAGTATTTATATATATATTATTTTATATATTAGATGAGATCCTATGGTTTTTTAGTACTGGACCAAATCAACGAGCGTGCCGAGTGGCTGACCGAAATGGAATCCATGGGCCAGGGCAAGAAGTATCGTCCCGAGATCAGAGAGCAGATTGCCGAGCGTCTGCGTCGCATTCAGGCTCTAGAATCCAAGATGAAGATGAAGTCCGATGGTGGCTTCCGTTTTGTCGACTAAATGTTTTAATCTGTTTTAAGCGTTCACCAAATCATTAAATGCCACGAATTAATCGAATTTTGTGGGATATTCTGTTAACACTCGATAAATAAATAGCTTTATTCAACTTATTTGCATTCGTATAATTTGGATTTCGTTAAATTTCCTTTTGATCTGGCACATATTTAATACACACTCATTATAACAATGTAAGAAGCCCAAACGCTAGCACTTTTGACTTGAAATTTGTTTTGGCAAAATGAGTATAAAGTACAAGTTAAAAATTCATAGGGTTTAATTAAAAATACCGAATAAATTACTGGATTATAAGTATATGTGTATATAGAATATACGGCTATATATATATCTGGACCTACGCACTACATTCTGTATATATATATATGCACGCATCTGTAAGTTCAAGAGAGTAATGATCCACCGTTCAAAAATAGACTTTTGTGACCTTAGCTTGTGCTCAACCTTGGATTCAGGGGGTGGTTTTGCTTAGCACGACGGCATGTGGCACCGGAACTCGCTGGCCGCCTCCGCGAAGCGATTCCGGATCAAGTAGCCGCTAATAACCTCGGCCACCTCATGCGGACGGTCCTCGTGCACGGCGTGTCCGCAGCGGGCCAAAACCTGCATCTGAAAGCGGCCCTGCATCTGGCCAACTGTCAGCGTGCGGTCCAGACCATCGATGCTGGCGAGGAGCAGCTGCTTGGGCAGGCGCAAGTTGAGGAACTTGTCGCTCAGGCCCGAGAACCAGCCCACCCAGTACTTCTCCGACTTGGACAGATCAATGCGCCAGGTGTAACTGGGGGGAAACATAAAGTAAGTTAATCATTTCTCTAATATAAGATTATTTAACGCTACTTCTTGGCCGCTTCGGTCATTGATTTGGTCGTGATGGGCTTCTTGAAATCCGCGCCAGCTGCTGTACCTTCTGCACTGCCATCGGCTGCTTCATCGCCCGGCGGCGACGATTCTTCGTCCTCCGAAATGCTGAACGGATTGGGAAACATGCTGTTGTGGTGAGCCTCCTCCAGGACTTCATCGGGTAATGGCAGGTCATTCGTTGCCAGTTTGTTCGTTGTACAGCTAGAGGGGATTAAAGTGTTACTCCTTTTGTGCGGAGCAATTAGATAGGCTAACTCACTTGATTATCTGCCCGGGCATGGACACCTTAGCGCTGTCCACATTGCGCACCTGGCCGCTCCGGATGCACCATTCGATGGCATTCGGAATACTCTGGAAATACTTTGGACGGGAGCGCAGAAAGCTTTGCATGCTGGCCAGTGCCTCCATGGCAGTGCCCTCCACCACATCGATCACGGTTATGCCAATCAAATTGGGCACCAAATTCATGTGGGCAAAGTGAACGGCGATGGCGCCGCCCATCGAGTGGCCAACGACAAAGAGCTGCGGCACCTCCTCGGGATACAGCTTCAGGATTAGGTCTCCAATGTCCCTTTAATTGTTTGGAATAATTTTATAATTAATACAGAATTTCATCAATATGCTAGATTTTTTGGTATTAAAAAAATTCCCTAAGAAAGTCGAACTATTTTTATTCTATTTAATGGGAATACTGCCTATAATCGCAATCGAAATGGATTAATCAATATACTCATTTGGCCAAAACATTGTAAAATCGTACAGAACGACCTCATTTCAATTTTCATGCGCTATTTTTATAAACAAAGAGATTATGCAAATTGGCCTGATCGTTCATAGAGTTACACGATGTTAACTAAAATGTAAATTTAAATTGCATTTACAATTATAAAATAGAAACTATTAAATTTTCTTTTAAATGCAATTATATTTAAAATAAAATAATCAATTTCTCACAAAGGCTCATACAGAATACAGTCATTTGATAAACTACTTGGAATTTAAATTTAAATTTAAATTTAAGAAATAGGAACAGATTCTAAGTAGTCTCTATTTAAGGTCTATTAAATGCAATTATTTTTAAAAGAATTGAAAAATACATTTCTTACAAAGGCTCATAGAGAATACAGTCTTTTGATAAACTACTTGAAAATGTAATCTGTTTAAATTAAAAAAATAGGACAAGATTTTAGATAGCCTCTATATCCTATGTCGTATCTTTTAGAACTCAAATTGTAGGGTGACCGAGCGATCAAAAATATTTTTTGTTGAGGATATGCCCTAGGATTTCCCTGGTTACTTAAGCGTTTCGAATGGAACCAACTCACTTGGCCAACGTATCCGCGGAGAGATCATCCTCGTCGTCCACCTTGCTGTCGCCGTGACCTCGCAAATCGATGCAGAGGCACTGGCAATGGATCATGCTGGTCACCTCCGACTAAAAATAGAGATAAAAGTTCCAATTAACCAAGATTTCCATCTCGAAGCAGCGCGATACTCACACAAAAGTGGGCCCAGGTGAGGGCCGAATAGCCACCTCCATGGAGCAGGAGGAGCACTGGACCCGGCTTCTCTGGCTGCTTGGTGCGGTAAATCCGAAAGGTGCGCTGCTCATCCACCGTGACGTCCTCCTTCTCCGCGAAGAACTCGTTCCACATGCCCGGCTTGTAGTCGCGGATGCGCGACTTCTTGAACGAGTCCCTGCAATTAGCCAAATTGGGTAGAGATTGCGTACTCCCCATCCCAACCCGAAAGTTCTGCACTTACGCTCGTCCAATGCGCCCGCCAGGAATTGTGGGTGGCAGCTTGCCCTTCAATATCGTGCGCTGTAAACTCGACATTGATTCGATTGTCTCCGCAGCGGGGTCAACAGGTGGTGCTCCTACGGTGCAGGTGCAAGTGGATATTCACTCGTCCGTCGCTCGCAAAAATCCGTTCCAAAACAAATAAAATAGTTCCAAAATTCAACGAAGAAATAGAGCTGAACTAACACCTAGCGATAGTATCGATAACTAGTATGATGTAGTTGCAGTGGGCGAAAAACGAAAATGACAAGAGCTGGCAGCCCTGTTTCAAGAGCTTTATTGGCAATGCCTTTGTCTGGCAACACCAAACTTTAACTGCTAATAATTCAAATCTGAAATTGAATATAATTACCTCACTCCTTGATATCCCAATGTTAATATTCGAATGGAATTAAGCTGACAGTTTGATGGCATTAAAAATAATTGAAAAATACGCTTTCTTTGATTTCTCATTGCATTTATTAATAGCTATAATTTTTATAAAAAGTTAAAAAAGGTGTTAAAAGTACTGCAATCCACACTTGCACCTTATCAGCCTAGCAAACACTTCACCTTAATGGCAAAATGATGACCAAGGTAATGGCCTTTCGTTAAGTGGAAGCCAAAAACCACTTTTTAAAGCGTTGCAAATTTGAAAACCAGTTTTTTAGAATGCATACAAGAAAGTTACATATGTTAAGAAGATGTTTGACCTATTTAACGGTAAAGACAGCTACTTAAAAACAAACAAAGCTCTTAACAAGTTGTTACTGATACACACAAGCAGTGGCACGTCGCTATAAGGAACCCAGAATCCCAAAGCTTAAGAGCTATGTTGGATTGCCTGATAAGCAAGTTCCACTGTATTGCTCATAGTATTCCGGGCTAAACAAAAACGGAAACGGCACGGGGCCGGATTGCTCAGTTGCTTGATGGAACGCGACGTGCTCACACCGAAAACTAGAACTCTACTCTGATAAGAAACGGCTGAGGAACAGCTCCAAGTTATTTTGACCTCATACAGAGAAAGATAAGACATTGTTGGGTATGTATCGGCAAAAGCGTTAAAATCTTAACAAAGTGCAATATATCTTTGTTTATTTTGGTATCTAAACCAATATAAGCTTAATGTTGTTTATTTGTTTTTACGGTTTCAAGATAAGGCAAAAATAACATAATCGATTGAAAAACCGTTTAGATTAGGTGGTACTCAGTTAAATTGGAGTATTAACAAAAACATAAACTAATTTACAACTTTCGTAAAGAAAACGAGAGCCACGAAATAATTTTAAAAATTTTAAAGGGACATAAGAGTTCTAATTTTTTGAAATCATAAATTTAGATGAGCATCTTGAGGGTTAAAGCTTTTGCAGAGTTGGCAACTCCTACACAACAGCTGTTCCCTATCGCCGTCTCGCTCCCTCATGCCCTTCCTTTTCATTTGCCGGCAGAATTGCATTTTGCACTTGTTTTTCCCAATTAAGCGGTCAAATTGGCGTCAATCTAATGTTTTAGTGACTCTATAGCTCTATAGCCGCTTCCCCAACTGATAACCGGAATGTTAGGACATCACTTTGTGTGCTAATAGCTATTTCGACATTTTGATAAGGTGAGATGGGTTGATAAGCTAATTTTTTGCACAACCACAGGTGCAATTGTTGTTTTTGTTGGCTATTTGTTTACGTATGTAAATTTGTTTTTGCCCATAAATTTAGATTAACCAGTTGCGCGACACGTTTACGGTTCGTCGACTGCGAAAAAAATGTCTGTTATTAAGGTTTCGCCCGCTTACAGGTGAAAACATGACTGCCAACGGGAATGGAACCGCTCAGGTTTTGGGAGCCGGCATCGAAATCGTGGCGGAACAGAAGCTCCAGCCGGAGTCCAAGATTTACGAGCGCGTGCAGCAGCTGGTGGCCTTTTTCAAACAGCAATTCGCAGCGGATCCAGAGTTTATAGTTCGAGTGCCGGGCAGGTGAGTTCCCCTAATCCCCTAGTTTATCCCACACCCACTGATGACTTCTCCCCTTTCCAGGGTCAACATTATAGGCGAGCATGTGGACTACTGCGGCTACTCGGTGCTCCCCATGGCAGTCAGCCAAAGCATCTTCCTGGCAGTGGCCAAAAATCCGGATGACAGCGAACTGCAGCTCAGGAATCTGGAGGAGGCCAAGTTTCCGGGCTACGATGCCGACCTGAAAACGCTCAGGTGGGTGATTCATTTAATGATAGTCACAGACCTTCATTACTGGGAATTGAAAGTACATAATATATATCTGTACACTAGATTTCAGTTCGCTCTTACTTTTCTACATTTCAATTGGTTTATATCAAGAATATCAGTTATGGATATGATATTACACTGCTTATATGCAAATAATATTTACGTTTCCCTTTTATATATATACTTCATTTTGCTTCAAACCTTAGTGAACAGATAATTTATATTCCTGATATAATTAGCTTAAATGATCCCAGTTTTTATTATTTAATGATATTACACTGTTTGATATGCTAATAATTTATTCGCAGTTAAAATATTAATGTATCAACGTTCCAATTTTTTCAAAATCCTAATGGAAAGATAATTTTAATTATTTATAAATTTAGGTTAAATGATCCCAGTTTTTATTATTTAATGATATTACACTGCTTAATATGCAAATATTGTATTTACATATAAAATATGTATTTATTAATGTTCCAATTTTTTTTGAAACAAATATAAAGATAATTTTAGTTCTTTAAAAATTTATCTTAAATGATCCCAGATTTTACTTATTTGCTTTATAAAATTTTTATTTTACATATAATAAATACCCTAATTTTCCCTTATTCCAGAATCGAGTTGCCAAAAACTGGAGGTCCCGCCTGGTACAACTATTTCTTGTGCGGCATCAAGGGCGTTCAGGAGAGTCTTGGCAGCCAGTGGAAGCCCATAGGAATGCGCATTGCCGTGGACGGTAATGTGCCGCTGGCTGCAGGACTCTCCAGTTCCAGTGCCATGGTCAGCTCCGCTGTTCTGGCCACTGCCCAAGTGCAGGGCAAGAAGCTGGACCGCCGGGAGCTGGCTTCGATTTCGGCCAAGTGCGAGCAATACATTGGCACCCACAGCGGTGGAATGGATCAGGCCATTGCCTACTTGGGAAGAGTAGGCTGCGCCCACCACATCGAGTTCCATCCCAAGCTCAAGGGCACGCCGGTGACATTGCCAGCGGGCAAGTGCTTCGTGGTCGCCAACAGCCTGGCGCAGAAGAACAAGGCTGCTTCGTCGGACTACAATGAACGCGTGGTGGAGTGCCGACTGGCCACACGATGGCTGGCCAAGCACAAGGGTCTGATCAATTGGGAGGACATCGTGCGCTTCATCGATCTGGAGGAGGCTTGCCAAATGGATAACGAGACGTTCGAGCAGCTGATCAAGGACACCTTGACCAAGTGGAACTACACGCGAGCGGATATCTGCAAGGAGCTGGGAGTCACCGAGCAGGAACTGGAGACCAAGTTCCTGTCCGCCAACACGCGGCACATGGAGCAGTTTAAGCTGCGTCAACGTGCTCTGCATGTCATTCAGGGTAGGATTTATGTTAGCATTTTGAACATCACTCATTACTTTTACTTCCTGACTTTGCACATTCATTAAATTAATTGATCTCCAAAGGAATAATTACAGTCAATTAATAAGACATTGACTTTAATCTGCTGCCTGAACGATATATCAATATCAATATCAAGTTAATGACTTTATTTTGGCTTCACAGAATCCGGTCGCGTGGCCAAATTCCGGAAGATATGTGAACAACTGGCCGCCGGACCGAGCAAGGAAGGTGCCAAGCAGCTGGGCGAGCTAATGCGACAGTCGCACGAGAGTCTTCGGGAGCTCTACGAATGCTCCCATCCAGATGTGGAGCGCCTGATTGCCATATCCAATGAGCAGAATGTCAGTGCTCGCGTCACAGGAGCTGGGTAAGATGTCTAAAAGCCTTCTACCTCCATAAACTAATAAAAATATTCCCTCTTTCAGTTGGGGCGGCTGTATAGTGGCCATGTGCGATTCCATTGAAGCGGCCGACGAGTACATAAAGGCTCTGAAGCGGGACTACTACGCCAATCTACCAGCGCATCTGCTGGAGCGCCATCAGCCCAACAACTTCAGCGAAGTTGTTTTTGCCACTCTACCGGGAAACGGAGCCGAGTTGTTTATACAGTAAACACTTGCCAAGCTTTTTAATCCAACTTATATACCAAAATCACCCTTAAGTCACTATAATCCAGCGGTCATTTATAGAGAAAACATTTAATATGTATGTACAATATATTAACAATTTAATAACTAAAATACAACAAGGCACGTGGGAAACGGAACTCAACTGGGATTCGAGATTTCTATCTGCGACTCAGATATCCGGCGTTCTTGAACAGCTTGTAGACCTGTTCGCGCGGAATTTTCTCAGCCTCGCGATGCACCACTGCCATTTCCTTCTTCGTCAGCAGCGACTCCTTGGCCAGATTGGCAGCGATCACGGGATCGCTGTAGAATCGTGCACTCTTCGACAGTTCGGCCGGCAACTCGGACTCCCACTGGGCATTCCGCACCACCGAGGGATGGGCTTCGGCTGTGGCATATCCCTGGTACTGGTTGGCCGGCTCGTATGAGTGCGCAGCCGGCAGACCCAGCGCCTGGTGGTAGAAGAACTGGGCTCGAACCGAGCTCGTGGCCAGAACCAGGCATCCAGCGAGCAGCGTTACTTGGCAGGCGGTCAACATCGCAATTGGACTACAAACAGGAGCGAGGAGCGGGGAGAGAAAAGGAGCAACGTTCTAATAAAGCGATACGGACAGATTTATTGCCGCTGGTCAGTGGCAGTTTTTAATCTACAAGTCGGCTGTCAGTTTCGTGCGTCATAAATTATGTACGGGAAAATCAATTATCGCATATGGCCAATGGAGTGGGCAGCGCGGAGATCTTGGCTCGGACCCATGCAGTTGCTAATCCGTGAACTTTTTGCAACTGGAACTGGCTTTTTTATTGATAAGAATTGGACTGTCCGCGAAATAAATGGCGAGCTTTAATTGTCAAGCGTAGAGTGCTCCAATTTGGTCTGAACAAAGCAATCAAATCTTGAGATACACGTACAGTGGTCTCTGGGTTTGATTAATTAAAAAATTGATTTAAAAATATTATCACTTTAAAGCTCAGTTTTTAATTTGTTTACATTAATTAAATAATTGAGGAAAGTTTGATAAATTTGTTTAATATTTTTTAATAATTATTTAGAAGTCACTCATTATCCATTTAAATTTTAATAATATTTTAAAACCAACTTTAAACTTTTTCCCTGAAAAAATCCTTGAAAAGGTGACATTGTCACACATTCTTTCTATTTATCACAGCCACTGTTCATGCATTTTAAATGTGACTCTGCGCCATTAAATGCATTTACATATTCCAAGTCCATTTCGATACTTTGATTTAGCCAAAGTCAAGGTTACGATCCCACACAACCAAATCCGATTTGGGTTCTCCACAGCACCCACTCGCACAACCACAAAACACGACACTCACTTTGATATGGACTTATTTCAGGGGCTAATCCTCGGAGAGAAGCACTTCAACCGAAACTGGAACACCTGGGCCTGGGTGAAGTTGAGACTGTAAACTGATCATAGAATATCGAGGCGGCGAACTTTTATTCGCTTGCCGTTGAATGCCACAAAAACGAGTTGAACTCAAGTCTGTGAGTCAACCGATCTCGAATCGCGCTCAAAGTCGCTTCTGAGCGCCGAGAATGAGTCAAGTTTTTCAGCTGGCTGCTTTACATTTTATTAAATTAATTATGGTCGGAGAGGAGAGGAGTGGAGTGAACTGCAATCTGGTATAGACTGACCTAGGCCTAGGCGCTGAGATCGGGCAATTAAAAGCAATGATATCTGTCTCCGTTTCTCATGCTCCATAAAAGTGCCCCCCAAAAAAGGTCGGATTGCCAGCCTACCAGCGTTACGCATGGCAAAAGTCGCACAGATATATTGGTGCTCCATATGTACTCGGAAAAACATAGTTTACCATAAAATGTACAACTCTATTTGTTTATTATGTATTCATTAAAATGTCAATTACTCATTCAAAAAAATAATTACAATTTAATAATATACAAAACATATTAAAAATCAACATTGCTAATATATGTACTATACACTAGTGCTTTTGTATATATTAAATTAAAAATGTGAAATTCCATAAAAGAAAATTTATTGACCTTTTTAAAGCATAGGTTCGATTCAAATGAAATGTTAATTTGTGAATTAGAGCCATTGTATTTAAGTGTTATATTTAAAAAAAAAATTGTTTCTATAAAAAATCGAATTTTAAATTGGAAAATCATAAAAATATTTGTTTAAAAAAAATAAAACTTATTAGTTCCAAATTTCGAGCACTGTATAAGTAGTATAGCGATTACAATGATTGACAAGTTTGCTTAGAATCCATGTCCGACTCAATCCGAGCTCTGTGCGATTTTGAAAGTACCGATTGACCCTGAATTTAATGCTGAGCCAGTAGAGTCGAAAATTCGAGCCGAGCTCGGTGGCTGTGGCTGCACATGTTTGACCCTAATTTGCCACGGGTGTCGGGTTGTCGGGGTGGGGTATGTATGAATATATCTGGGGTTATTCAACCGATCAGTTAAGGCGGAAGCATTACCCGTGGCTGCCCGCACTGGATATTCGCCATAATCACCCGCCGCCGGATGGCAGCCTTGAACTTTCCCGATCTCTCAGGTGCGTATCTCTTGGCCTGCGATTGGTATTTACATTGTTCGGGCTTTTCGACTTCGTCTCTGGGAGTGGTCTCTCATTTATTGGCCGTGGCAGATTTGATATTTAATTAATGGCCATTTAGCGGCTTTGTGGATGCATATTAAATAAACAAATTGCCTGGCCCCTGCATTGTTGGCTGCGGCCGAAGTTAATGAGCTTGGTCTTTGAACTTTATTAGGCTTTGTCTGCGATTACGTGACCGAAAATTCAGAGGAACTCAACGGCTGTAAGTCGGATGCTTTAGATAAATATTTCCATGAAAATTATTTATAGAAAATTATGAATTCCGCTTTTTATGACTTAAGAGTAGGTCTTCTTAAACTAACTTTTCAATGAAAACTTTTCATCAAATTGAAAAAAATTAATTCTATGCCACATTTCTCATTGAAAATATAAAACAAATAATATTTTTAATAAAAGAAAATGTTAAAACTTTTTTTCAATTTAAAAGGGGCTTAGTCTAAACTCTTTGAATTGTTTGAAAATGAGAAAAAGAATATAAATTAACTTGTTCAAAAATTCTACTCTTCAACTTGCAATTTACTTATGAAAAATGTATTTTCTAAAAATGACAAATTGGCTGCCATTAATAATTATTAATTAAACTTGATTTAATGACCAGACCAATTTCCATTTAAACCACTAATAACTGGAATTCTTTGGGTTTCACGTTACAGAGGCTATACTGTGAGTTTCGCTAAAAAACTGAACCCCTTTTATTATGTGTTTGCTTTGATTTTTATGCGCATTGCCTCGACCCACACGCAGCGCCTGCCAAGGACGGCCAATGCAATTTCAAGTGCACGAATTGGTGGGCCAATGCAAACGACTCTCGGCCGACGCGGCGTATGAGCAACATCCGCTTTGGCGGGGCGGCGCATTAAGTATACGCACCCGAGTCCGCGTCGAGTGAAAGTGCTGTGAGTGCTGGGTGGGTGACCTTGAACAAGAGGCACGCCTGCCACCTCCTACCGGCTTTCAGAATGCAATTTCAATTTTAGAACTGAGCGACTTGCGAGAGCTGTGAGAGAATTGCCGATTTTCCGGCGGTTCTCATTTCGATTTGGGCTCTCTAGCGAGCTCCCATTGCACTTGGACTGCCAGTCGACGTTTGGCAGTTCGGCGGGCGCTTTGTTGGTCGCACATTGCACACTTTTCGCATAGGTGTGCTATATAAGCCCACCACTTCTTGGCCAGCGGAAATTGTATAATAATTACGGGAAAAAAACTGACCTGGACTCAATTCGGATTTGTGTCAGTGCTAGAAAGAAAATGCTGCAGCGGCAGAAATCGACGGGTAGCAAACGATTTGGCAGCAGCCTTCCCCCAAGAACCATTCCCCATCGGGCAGCCAAGTGAAGTGGATAAAATGGCTTTGGCAGCGGCCCCAACAGCAGGACCTTCGCATGGCGGCTTGGCAATGGCCGTGAATTCGGCCGGTGGCCACGATACCAGCGGTGGCAATCAATACGAGGAGAATGCCGAGCACCTGCGCCAACTGTTCAGCCAGAGCAAGCTGGTGTCCTTTAGCATTGCCCACATCGCGTGCTCCGCGGGCAGCAGCAGCGGCGACAATTACATGTCCGTGGTGAAGCGGGTCACCATCAGCCAGGCGCCGGATCAGGAGAAGGATCAGGAGCAGGCCAGGAGTGAAATTGGTAAGCGTAGTCCATACAGATTAGGCGCCAGCCGCCATTACACTCATCTAATTGATTTTCTTTTTGATACCGTGTAATGTGATGCCTTTTAAAGGTAGTTTGAATAGATCGCATGTTTAGTATACAGCTTATAAGATTTATTAAACCAAATATGTAAAAGGTTCTGAGAAGGTCATATTTCATTTCAAAACTTAATAATACGCATTCTAAATATTCCTTTTTTGTTTTCAGTTATGAAAGAAATATTAAATTTATCTCATAAACCTCAAAAAATTTATTTTTTTTACAATAAATTCTAGTTACTATTTGATCATTATCCAACATTTTGTTTGTTTTAGTTTTATTACTATTTTAAGAACTTAAAAGAGTATACTTCAGCTCAATACCTAATTGCCTAACCTAAAACCTAATTGTAAAAGGTCCTGCTTAAATATTTTCATTTTAAAACTTAATATTACACATGTTCGTCATTATAGAAACACAAAAAATAAATAAAATTCATAAATATTCCCTAATTGTTTTCAATTTTAAAACAAATAATATTTTGATCTAATAATTCTCCAAAAACTAATTTTTTTCACAATATCATCTAGTTACTATTACTGTGTTTATACGATGCCGAATTCACGCTATCATTTCACGCTTTCGGCCGATTCGTGCTTGTATAAACGCCATTTCGTGAATTCGGCAACACACGAAAGTTGACTATGATTTCAGCCCAAAAGCGTGATTTGGTGATATGCAATATGGTAACTCTGTAAAAACTGATTGACGTTGCCAGATCGCTAGAAATTGAAGGCGTTTTATAGGCCATTAGTCTAATCAGTGGTATTAAAAATTAGATATTTTTACCGGTCCGGCATCCCTATCAGCTGAGAGTGAATAAAAGCATGAATTCTCGGCTGTCGTATAAACAGGGGTTATTTCTATTTCGCGCTTTCAAGAAATCGTGATTGCTATCGTATAAACATAGTATATCTGATCAATATTCTAAATTTTGTTTCTTTGAGTGTTTTACCATTTTAAGATCTTTTAAAGGGTACAGCCCAGTTCAAACCCTAATTGCAGCGAATTTACTTTAGATGTTTGCCCCGCTGAGCGGCGGCGTCGAGTGGGTTGACCTTGTTGCACGCATTCTAAATGCAATGCACCCATACACCATACACCCAGGCGTATACGTAATATAGATTTGCTAAAGGTCAGCACGCACACTCACACATTCGCGAGCGAGAGAGGCGGCGAAAAAGAGCCGCTGCTTCTCTCACGCACGCAAGGCCGTCAATTCATTCATAAATATAAATCTTTGCCAGGCGACGTAAACAAAAGTCAGCTGTTTGCCCGTGCCGCTCTCACCGTTTGTTTTGCTCTGCGTTTTCCATTCCTCTCCACCCTCTTTAAACCCACCACTTACACAGTAGGAAAAATTTATATGATACTGCAGATCGGATTATATTTAAAAACTCATTCTAAACTTTCGATTCTAAGCGAGCTTTAATTAAACATAAATTGTTCTCCTAAATTCTTATTTAATGGAAAAATCAATTTATTTTGAAAAAAATTGTATCTAGATTTGAATGTTAAGAATACAGTTTGGCGATATTTAATAACAACATGTTAATATAAAGATTTTACATTTCATTGAGGATCATATACCTACCATATTATTTCCTAATATTTTGATGAGGTACCCTAAAACTTTTATTGGAAAAAAAAACATTTGAAAAACAAATTAATCTTCCACTATAGTATCCTTTTCACTCTATCCTTAATGATTAAAAAAAACGTAATTTTAATCTCTTTGTTTTCTGTGTAGTCACGGTCATTGTGAAGCGGCAAATAGCGAGTCTGTCGCGCCGGCAGCTCTACCGTTGCGAGGAGGCCTTCAGCAACGAGATCAACGCCTACCGGCATTTGGCGCCCCTGTTGGCCGCCCACAGTCGCCAGCAGCTCTTTCCGGTGTGCCACATCGCGGAGAGCCAGGATCGGAGGGATTCGGACGGCGGAGAGCCGATCATCGTGCTGCAGGACCTCAAAGCCCTGGGTTTCCGCATGAAGGATCGTTTGGCGGGCCTGGAACTGAGCGACTGCCTGCTGGTGATGAAGGTGGGAAAGTCATATACATCTGCCTTATCCATAATCAACATCTCATCTTTTTAGAAACTAGCTCAACTTCACGTCGCCTCATTGGTTGCCCAGGAACTGGAGTCCTCTTCCTTTGCTTCCCGGGTCAAAAACCTCCAGGAGATTGTCTACTGTGATGAGGCCACCGACTTTTATGCCACCATTCTGGACACCTCGGTGCAGCAGGCGCTCGAAAGTCTAAGTGGCTCCAATGCAGACGACAGTCTGACCACGCCCATTTGTCTGCTCGAAGAACTGCGTTGCAATTTGTTCGGCAATCTGAAGCGGGAGATAAATGCCACCGAGGAGGCTCCAAATAGTGTGATCTGCCATGGTGACCTGTGGGTAAACAACATCATGTTCCGCTCAGAGCCCGAGGAGGTGATCTTCTTCGATCTGCAGGCCATGCGCCGGTCGTCGCCTGTTTTTGACATTCTCCACTTTATTTACACCAGCACGAGAAGGAAGTTGAGGGATGTGCACACCGATACCCTGCTGGCCGCCTACTCGGAAGCTGTGGGTGAGGAACTAAGGCACCAGCTGGAGGATAGACTAGCTGCTGAACGACTGGAAGAGCTTTGCGAAGCCTTCTCCTTGCAGCGCCTCAGCGCCGAGTATGTGCATCAGGTGCACTATGGTTTGGCCATCGGCATGTGGATCCTGCCAGCCGTCACCTTCGATCCGGACAACCTGCCCAATCTGGACGTGATGAGCGAGCAGAGCAGAAGTGGCAAGGAGATCAAGTGCACCCAGACGCTCACTTCCGAGTACCATCTGCGCATCCGGGAGCTGGTGATGGAGTTCTACGATCTGGGCTATCTCCAAAAACAAAACTTTTAAGAGTATTCATAGTCATGTAGCGATAGAATTAACTTTTAAACTCTAAACGTTCGCAATAAATAGATAATAGATTTGCCCTTGAGGAACTGTAGCTCTCTCTTGAAGGTTCCTTTATTACCGATTAAATTGTTCACTTTTATAACTTACAAAAGGTTCGTAGAAAAAACAAATCTGGCGGGGGTAAGAGCCAAAACAAAGAACTTATAAAGAAAATCGGACATACCGCAGCATTTATAAGTGTAACATGGATGCGTGGAATATTCCAGAAGAGTGCTTCGTGGTGGTTAATATCGATCTCACTTGTTGCCGCCGCCGCTGCCCCATCCGAGGAATCCCTTGACGAAGCCCGTGATCGAGGGTCCCTTCTTGCCGGGCGACTCCAGTTTGTCCTCCAGCGAGGGCAGCTCCACGTAGTTCATGGCCAGGTCAAAGAAGAGCGGCTTGCAGGGTATGGGCTCCATGTCGGGTGTCAGCTTGAACACATTCGGTGTCTTGGTGTGCAGCGACTGATCCTCCTTGTAGAGCGACAGTCGCTCGTACAGAGGTTTCGTGGTCTTCTGCGACTTGGTAGTGGTTCCGGCCTCCTCGCTGTTGTCATCCTCCAGCACACTGTAGGCGTGCGCAGAGAACTTGCAGCCCTCGATGGCGGACACGACCTTCTTGAGCTCATCCTGCAACTTGAACTCCGGACTGGTCTTGCCCTTCAGCGCCTCGCTGGCGTAGTTGGATGCCCGTTCGTACAGCGCCACCGCCTCCTTCCACTTCTTCATGTCGATCAGTGTGAGCGCAATGTAGTAGCAGCGGAAGGCCTTGAAGGTGACGGCCAGGTTCTCCACCTCGCCCTGGTACTTGGCATCCTCCTCCAAGCCGTTGATCTGCTGCATTTCCGTAACGTTCTGCAGGATGATCTCGTAGAGGCGGGCCAGATCCTGGGAACGCACGCGCTTGCCGTCGCCCACATTTTGCTGCGACTGCTGGTTGGGATCGTCAAAGTTGAGCTTGGCCTTGAAAGAACAATAAAGATGATAAAATGAAGGTAAAAACTATGTATTTATGGGCTCACCTGCTCCACTAGGCAAAGATTACGCTGCAGTGTGCGGCTGTGACGAATGTAACTCAAATAGGCCAGTAGATATTGCACGCCGGACACCGTTTGTCCAGTGGTTAGAGAACGCAGCTTGGGATCCTGCTTGATTTCGTCGCGCACCGCCTGAATGGCGTCCTTGCAGTCCATCAGAATGCGTTCAATCAGCTCTATCTTGGCATCCTGCTTCGAGGCCTTGGCCAGCGACTTGTCCAGCTCCTGGGCACTGAGCAGGAACAGACGCACCTTCTCCGGACGTACGGTGACCTTGCGACCGCGCCAATCGATCGTCTGCAGGCCCTCGCTGCTCTCCGTCTTGGTCTGGCTGACCAGAACATCCAGATTCTCGAGCACTCCCTGGGCGCGCAGCTCCAGGATCTCATCGATGTTGCCGCCACTGGCACCGCCGCTGATGTTGTAGGCGCAGTAGCGCAGATTGGGCGTGAATTCGTTGACCTTGGCGCGGTACAGCTCCTGTTCATCGTCCGGCAGAGCCTTGGCCAGATTCTCGTAGACCACCTGGGCGCGCTTCAGGTGCTCGCCGGCGGATTTCCAGAGCTGCAGCTCAAAGTGCAGGGTGCCGTGCATCCAGGCCACATAGGCCTCGCACTCCAGCTTGGTGCGGGCATCGAAGGCCTCCGTCTGGGGGTTAAACATGAATTAAACTGGATGTAAATTAATCTCATTGATGGGCTCCAGCTTACATTGCACAACTCCTGCAGCTGGAGGGCATAGAAACAGGCCCGGCGCAGCTTGTTGACCAGATGGAAACGCTTTCGCGGCTCCGTATTGGACTCCTGCTTCAGCTGCATGGCATAGGCCCAGGCGCGCTCGGCGCTGATCAGCGGGATGTGGATGAAGCGCTCGTCCGCCTTCTTGCCCGTCAACTGGCCAATGGTCACGTCGCGTCGCTTGAAGTGCCGCTTGTCGCCCTGCGGGTACTTCAGTGCCTTCCTCAGGCGGCGGATGCGGCGGGTGCAGTAGCCGCGGTACCGCTGGAAGTCCCCGTGGCGCAGGCCGTGCTGCTGCTGGGCATCCTTGATCATGTGCAGGACTGCAGGTGGAGGAGAGTGAAAGTTCAGTGCATTAGCATACAGACTTTTAGGTTAAAGGGAGCGGGGCGTCTGGAAAGGGAAGGCAGTTAACCACTTACTCTCCACCGTGAAGATCTTGGCCGGCTCGGCAGCCACCGGAGCACTCTCCGTCTTCTCCTGAATGTCCCCAGTATTGGGATTATCCTCTTGGACGACCATTTTCTAAGCAGTCGACACAAATCAACGACGTGTAAAAATCAGTGATGGGCTACCAATTGGGAATGTGAAAAACACTGAAATATCGATATCAGCGTGGGCGGTTCTCGTGCTATATATATCGGGATTAAAAAAGCTTATTTTGAGTAGAAAAATTAAAGGGGGATTCCCTAAACTGTTAAATTGCTGAATTGTTGAAAATTCAACAGAAAATTTCAGTTATTTGTTGAAAAATTTCACGGAACTTAAAGCATGTAAAATTTGATTTATTTTTGCTAGTTACTGTCTAAAAGTGTTACCAAGGTAAAAAGAACCACAAATATGCTTTCTAAGTTGATTTTAAAATAAATAATGCGTACTGGTGATACTAAAATGTTACAGAGTTGCCACGACTTTTAAAAAAAGGCGACAACTCTGGCTTTTCAGCAATTCAACAAAATTTTCAACAGCCCCAAGGCTGTTGAATTGCTGAAATTTCTGAAAGTTGACTTTGTATGGAACAGCTGATTAACAGCTATCCAACATTCAACAATTCAGCAATTCAACAGTTTAGGGAATCCCCCTTAAAATTTTTGATTAATTTTGTGGCAGTGAAGTGCTTTGCTGTCTTAAAAAAAATGCTATAGTAATAATCCTATACTTTAATATCCGTTACGTTAATATATCTATTTAAAATTATTTATGTAATGTATCATAATGGCCAAAAATTTCGTATTATTCCTTTCGCAATATATTTAGACAATGTCTATTAGACATCTCAGAAGTAATGCTCAAATCGTGACGTATTTCGAAATAACCCGAAAAAATAAAATCATTAACCGATATTTGTTGCTATCGATACTTCTTCTTTTTGGCCACCTCCAACCAGTAGTGTTGGTAAACCGTTCGAAACTCCCCCCTTTTGAAACTTGTTGGCTGACACGCAAGAGCGTGCGTTCTGTCTCTTTTACAACAATTTCGGCCTAGTTCGCAGGTAAAATTCAAAGATTCCAACAATCTGTCAACGTGAAAGTGAAGAACAAGGCCTGCCGCGTGCGAGACAAGGGAAATTCGCTGTGGAAAGCACTTGATTTGGCCACGCTTTGAGGTTATACTTTCACTCGCAGGCGAACGCAGTCACCGCACCCCCGCCCTCTGCCCCACAAACAGTGCACCAGATTTGTTTTGACGGCCGGGGATGGTGATTTGCAACGTTGACAGTGGACTGATTAGCATATAGACCGAATCTCTCGGTAGAAGCGAAGCAAATTGTAATCAATTTTCCCCCTTTCCTACCCAACAGCATGTCGCGCAGAAAGGAGAACGAGGAGGTGGACAAGCAGACGCGCATTGCCATCGTCAGCGATGACAAGTGCAAGCCCAAGCGGTGTCGGCAGGAGTGCAAGAAGACCTGCCCGGTGGTGCGCATGGGCAAGCTCTGCATCGAGGTGACGCCCACGTCCAAGATAGCCTCGCTGTCCGAGGAGCTCTGCATCGGTTGCGGTATCTGTGTCAAGGTGGGTTGTTAGTTATCCTCTATATTACCTTAACTTACCCTTTTTTCTGCCCCTCTAGAAATGCCCCTTTGAGGCCATCACAATCATCAACTTGCCCAGCAACCTGGAGAAGCACACAACGCATCGGTACAGCAAGAACTCCTTCAAGCTGCATCGTCTGCCCATTCCGCGTCCCGGCGAAGTTCTTGGCTTGGTGGGTCAAAATGGTATTGGCAAGTCGACGGCCTTGAAGATCCTCGCCGGCAAGCAGAAACCCAATCTGGGCAAGTACGCCAATCCGCCCGACTGGACGGAGATCCTCAGCTACTTCCGCGGCTCCGAGCTGCAGAACTACTTCACCAAGATCCTCGAAGACAACCTGAAGGCGCTGGTCAAGCCGCAGTATGTGGATCAGATCCCCAAGGCGGTGCGCGGCGCTGTCGGCGATCTGCTGGACAAGAAGGACGAGCGGGAACTGCAGACCAAGATCTGCGATATGCTGGACCTTTCGCATATCCGGGATCGTGAGATCTCCCAGCTGTCCGGTGGAGAACTGCAGCGCTTTGCAATCGCCATGGTTTGCATACAGAATGCCGACATCTTCATGTTCGACGAGCCGTCCTCGTACTTGGATGTGAAGCAGCGTCTCAACGCTGCCTTGACCATTCGATCGCTCCTGCATCCCACAAAGTGAGTTTAAAAATTCTCTTAAAATACTCTTACTAAGGATTAATTGCTTTTCCCAGGTTCATTATCGTGGTGGAGCACGATTTGTCTGTGCTGGATTACTTGTCCGATTTTATTTGCTGCCTTTACGGAGTTCCCGGCTGCTATGGAGTGGTCACTATGCCCTTCTCCGTGCGCGAAGGCATCAACATATTCCTCGACGGCTTTGTGCCCACCGAAAACATGCGTTTCCGCACCGAATCGCTCACCTTCAAGGTATCTGAATCGGCCACCGAGGAGGAGATCAAGCGCATGAACCACTACGTGTATCCCTCCATGGTCAAGACCCTGGGCAAGTTCGAGCTGACAGTGGAAAAGGGTCACTTCAGCGACTCCGAGATCCTGGTTTTGCTAGGAGAGAATGGTACGGGCAAGACCACGTTCATCCGCATGCTGGCCGGCAATTTGCAGCCCGATGGCGAGGTGGAGCTGCCCATGCTGAATATCTCGTACAAGCCGCAGAAGATTTCCCCGAAATTCCAGAATCATGTGCGCCATTTGCTGCACGACAAGATTCGCGACGCCTACGTGCATCCGCAGTTCATTGCCGATGTTATGAAGCCCATGAAGATCGAGGAGATCATGGACCAGGAGGTGCAGAACCTCTCCGGTGGTGAGTTGCAGCGCGTGGCCTTGGTTTTGTGCCTGGGCAAGCCAGCGGATGTCTACCTCATCGACGAACCGTCTGCCTACTTGGATTCGGAGCAGCGTCTGGTGGCCGCCAAGGTTATCAAGCGGTATGTTTTATCTAGTCATTAAATTTAGTATGCAAATACTGACTACTCTCTGATATTAGCTACATTTTGCACGCCAAGAAAACTGGATTTGTGGTGGAGCACGATTTCATCATGGCCACCTACCTCGCCGACCGCGTCATCGTTATTGAGGGCCAGCCCTCGGTGAAGACGACGGCCTTCTCGCCGCAGTCGCTGCTGAACGGCATGAACCGCTTCCTCGAACTGCTCGGCATCACCTTCCGTCGCGATCCCAACAACTTCAGGCCCCGCATCAACAAGAACAACTCGGTCAAGGACACGGAACAGAAGCGCTCCGGCCAGTTCTTCTTTCTGGAGGACGAGGCTTGTTAGTTAGACAGAATCACGGACAACCTCGGTCGGACAGCTCGTTTCCCTTTCGTTCTCTTCAGCTCTCCTTTGTTCATTTTGCATTCTTTGGTCGAAAAACACACATTTGCTTTCAATATATTTTGTTATTGTTGTCGAGGATTGCGTACAATCGTAAACTGGGGATTAATTGTACTTTATTAAAGTGAGTTTTATATACGTTTTTACAGCGAAATAAATAGTAAACCCAAACAACAGATAATAATTGTTGTCTTGAATGAGTCTAGCAAAAATAAACAAATTTTCTTTATACAAAACGGCAATCAAGTGTTTAATTATTATTTTGTTATCTGTTCAAAACAGTACGTATTTTTGGTGTAGGACAATTTTTGGCCAAGTTACAGCAAAAACGAAAAAGAACCCCAGATCCCAGTTTTCCACAAAAAAAAATAGTTTTTTGGTCGAAACAACGGAAATATTGATCCAAGCTCTTCTGAGCTCGTTATTAAATTTCCAATAATACAATTTTTTGCAAAAAATCAAAATGTACCCCCTTTTAAAAAAATTTATTGATAATTCCTCTAGCAGATGGTGCAAAGTACCGACATAAAATTTCAAACACAGCTGACATCTGCAAATTAACACGTATTTATTGCACTTAAGCGATAATTACACAAAATACGCACAATAGAAATGTAAATATGAATATAAATTACATACAAATTTCTGTCATTTCAAATACGATCACAATTGGAAATAAACACACAATGGATAACAGCTACAAACGTTTATAAGTGTATAATTTACAATATTTTTTATGGATTACCAACGCATGCACAGCATAATTGTTAATGTAAACGCTTTTGAAGCTTTAAGTTTATGCGATTTAATCAAATGTACATACAAACTTTTTGAAAAAGGCAAATATTCTGAATTTATAATACTAAATTTGATCTGTGGCCTGGAGTCCACTAAAAAACTGACACAAGTAAGTACTATAAATAGATAATTCTGGAGACTTATGCGCTAAAAATTCCATAAAAGTAAATGCGTCAAAATTGACCCAAATATTTGATAGTTGCCTTGTGCAGTTTTAATCAGAATTTAAATTTTTGAGTTCGACAGTAGAGAGCTCGTTTTGCAAGGAGAGAGTTTCAAGTTACAGCAGATATTCCTTTAATTTTCCATTTTTAAAATTAACTATAATACAAAACTTCTAAAGTAGTAGTATAGTTGTTAAAAATGGACAGACGTATGTCTAAAATTGAGTGTTTGAGTTGATCCAAAAGCAGATCCTATGGTTCATCCAATAATTCAATTACCTTGTTTTCATTTCTGATTTCTTCAGCACAATTTCTGTTTGTAAATGGAACTTTTAGTGACTTAACTTTAGTGTTGCTATTTGCTTAAATAATTGTCGAAATGTTGCAACAGAACGTATCAAAAATAAGTGTATATCATGCAGGAGATTAAAATATATAGAGAACTTCTGAGGTAGCCGACTATGCATCGTCTGCACTTTTCATAAGGGTAGACACTTCCTGGCCGAGTTCCAAGGCCTGTTTGCGCAGTTTGAGGGCCTGAAAAGGTGAACAGCATGAGCAAATTATTCGCTTTCTATATTTAAATGGGAAAATACCTGAGTTCTGAGTTCCTTTTCGCGTGTCACGAGTTCCTGAATTTGCGACAAGACTGTGGCGCAGCTACGCTGATCTATCACCCATCGCAAATAGAGGTCTGAAATCAAAGGTTAGTAAATAATCTCTAATAATCTATATAATTATTACATACCGCTCCACAGCTCCAAACTAATCGGCGCCACCGATGGCCATATCACATTGGCATTGGGCTCGTACAGCGGATTTAAGAGGGTCTGCAGAACATCCGGCCGGTTTAGGTAAGACCAAAGGCTCGTCGTCCTGGAGTGCACGTTCAGTTCGTTCCGCTCGCGCTCTGAATCGCACAGAAAGGTGCCGTACTGCGAGAAGTGGCTGTGCTCGAAGAGAAGGATCAGCAGCTGAGTGCTGAACTCAAAGCTACAGGGAAACTGTGTGTAAAGCTGGTAGATGCAGTCCAAGAAGAGCACAAAGGTGGCGCCAGATGTCTTGTTGCGCGTCTGATTTGGTGTGTAGCATGAGTAGCGATGACGCGAGGCGAACGGATGACCTGCCTGGATCCACTCGCGCTCTATCAAAGCTTGCAGGCTGTAAGATAAATACATAATATCAGGAAGCTATGCCAAGTAATTTGTAGATTATGACTTACCCCCTCACGGTGCGGCAGTCGGGATTGAGAATGATCTGCACCAGCGAGGTGACAATGAGCGTGGAATCCAAGCCCTTGGCGCCGTGAACCAACACGGGACTTCCCTCCTGATCGAGGCACTGGGCCACCACACACGAGGCGTTCAGGGAGTTCAGCACGAGGCTGAGCCAGCCGCTGCTCTCCAGGCGCGACAGCCACTTGTCCGTGCTGCAGCCCAAGTCATTGCAGGCCTCGATTAGCCGGGAAAAACTATCCAAGATGGAAGCAGGCGAGCTGACATTGCCAATCGATCGATTGACCTTCTTCCACTGCGAGTAGTGCAGGTCCGTTTCCGTGTTGGACTTGCCCTTGCCCCAGGTGTCCACGATGAAGCCCTTTCGGCTGCGTCCCAGCACCAGATTGAGGATGGCCTCGTCGGCCCGGCAGCGTTTGATGCCCTGAATGGACAGCGGCTGGGAGCTGCGCATCAGGGTGGCCTGTTAATGTGATTCATGATTGCATTGCATTAATTTAATCGAATTGTGAAGTCACTTACGCCATTTTCATGCCTGTAGCTGAGCACGGGAAAACGACCGCCGTCGCGGAACCCAGCGGACAGCACTATCTGCTCGTCCGTAATTGCTTTAGGTACAATTAGCGTGGCGCCATATGTGGCACAGACGCTGAAGTCTCTGTTGACGTTGCTGATGCGCCACTCGCAGGAGGCCTGGGAACCTTGAAGCGCTCCTCCTCCGCCCACTCCTCCGCCCACGCCACCCGCCAGGGCGTCTATCGCAAAGCCATTCTGCAGGGGATGTTGTACATTCGTTGTCGATGTTGATGGCATGCAAATTGTTATGTTGGCCACATTCGGCGAGGACCCCCCGCCCATGCCCACGCCGCTGATGAGCTTTGCGAACTCCAGCTCGGGCCTGTCGTTCGATTGAGGGGGAGGATAATTGAATTGTAGCCAATTTGCCAGTGATGTATGCCGTATACCCACCTAAACATCGTGTAGCCGTCCTCCAGGATGGTGTACATGGGTCGGTAGAAGAAGGGATACAGCAGCTCGGTGTTCTGAATGCCACTGAGTGCCTCCAGCGAGGCGGCCACGTTGAGGAACTCCTTGCCGCACTTGATCTCCAGCGAGATGATGCGCAGATCCTTGCATTTCAGCGTGATGAGGCCACCGACCACGATGTTCTGCGACAAGCTGGGCTTCTTCTCCACACTGTCGATGTTCTTGTGCAGCAACTGGAGGGGGAAATAGGTTTCCAATTCGATTATTAACGCTCCATTGAGGCGGAAACCCATCGGATTAGGATATCCACTCACCCACAGCTCCTGGCTGGTCTCCTGGCGGGCGCTGAGCAGCAAGTGGTGCCCGGTGATGCAGAGGGTGCCAACTGTTGCACCCGACGCCCCGCCCGCATTGGAGGGGTCGTGCAGGAGGACTCCGTCCAGCTTGGGGGTCTTTATCAGGTCGGCGAATTCCATGGCGGGGTGTCTCCTCCTCCTCGGCGGGGTGTCTCCGATTTGCTTTGGCCGCGGACTAATTAACTTTTTGCATTTTGCCCCGGCTATCTCCTGTTGCCACTTGATTGCTTCTGTTGACGCCGCCTTCGCCTCCTCCTCCTTCTCCACCCCTCTTCACTGTGCTTCTCCCGCCTTTCGTTGCCCTTTTTTGAACCCACAGCAGTGCGTACGTCAGCGGTTCTGGCGGGGATTGGGCGTTCCTACGACTCTGCTGATCTCCGACTACTAATAGAACTCGCTCCGCGCAGTTAAAGTGTTTGTTGCACGCCCCCGCTTACGGCACAGATTGCATTTATTTCTCTCTGTTTCGGTTTCTGCGGCGCGAGTGGGTGGTGGTGCGGGGGGAGTGTGTATCGATAGGTTGGCCAAAAAAGCCATCTGATATCGAAGAAGAAGAGCTTTTTCGATAGGTTTTGCAATATGTATATCGATAGGTTGATTATAAACCGCCTAATTAATCGTTTTCCAAAAAAATAAGACTAAATAAAATGAAAATTTAAATTGTATTAATTAAGCCATCTACGCCTGCACAAGGTGGACAACATGGAACATCATAGCCATTACAAACCCATAAATCCCACATTGCTGTGGAACAATGGCGATAATAAAAGAGCCGTAGGCAAGACAACTAACCTATGAAGGCTGTGGAGTAGATATTTCATCATCTACGTGATCCAGATCTCAATATTTCCCCTCTCAAAGCGCTTTAATGTGCCTGTAATAGGTGGCTTCTTGTAATTTCCATTCAATTTTCGTGGACATCGTAGTCAACAACACATTATAGCGAATTTGGTACCATTTGGGGCAGGTTTTTGACCGGACATTTGGTCCATAATATGGACTTTATATTTAGAGGCTCTGGTGTACCCAACTCCATTAAACTATGAATCCTATGGGCAATTTGGGAGAACGTCCCACATTTATGGGATCCATCCCACATAAATCAATGATATTGTTTAGCCATGAACCCTATATCTACCTATTTCTATCCCTAACTTTTTGATTTTTTAATCGTTTTTTCGTCTGGATGTTAAACTATATTAAACTAGGTGTTAGAATGCATACAAATGTTTCCTTCTCTACTTTAGATATGTAAAAAACTACATAATTTTCCAACGATTCGAAATAAAACCCCCTCTGCATACTAGGTTGCATGTCACACGCACATGCGGTCCTTTAATCCAAATAAAATTAAGAAATGATTATGATAGACTTGCAATATGGCTAAATTAAGTTTTACATATGTTACACACAGACAGCGATGCCGTTGAAAGTGGTGGTCTGGGCCAGAAGAAGCGTCGAATACTCTTTGGAATGCGCTGCAGCGGGCGGTGGCAAGGTGACTTAGTAACCGGGAGTCCCTCCTCATCCAGCTCAAACGACTCCCGTGGGACGCACATTGGTTGGCGGCGCGGCGCCACTGGGCCTCGTCATGATGTCCATGGCGTTCTTAAACAGCTGCGTCTTCACAAAGTCCGAGGCGGCGGAGTTAAGATCCTTGCTAGCGCCATAATTGCACTTGATGTAGCCATACAAATTGGCTGCATTCAGCGCAATGGCAATCATCACCAGCAGCAGCCACTTGAACTTGAGGCCGAACAAAGCGAGCAGAAAGAAGAGGCCCCAGAAGACGGGACAGAGGATGAGGCCCAGCCAGAAGACGCGCTGCTCGTGCTTGTTGATCCGACTCTGCTGGGATTCAGACTGCGTTTCATCATCAAGGGTTAATCGGTTAACGAATCGTGTGACTCACGTTCTTGGACTCAAACACCCAGTGCGAGACACCGTCGTCGTCGACGTAGTTCCACCAGCGCAGACCCACCAGCAGCCTTCCCGAGATATTCTTGACCGTCCAGAAGTCGGCGGACAGGAAGAGCACCACGAACACGAAGCTGGTGATGAAGGAGTCGCTGAACCAGCCGCAGAACATGTAGATCACGATGGCGGCGCCCCGGAAGAACAGGTGAAAGAAGGTGACATAAGGGTGCCTATAGAGTACAAAAGGGGGTTATTTATTTAACGAACTCCATGGCTTATAAGTGATTCTTCTGCCTACGTGTATTTCTGGCCTGCGCGACTGGGATCCCGCATCTCGTCCTCCTCGCCAAAGGGTATCGTGTCATCGTCGAGCAGCGGCACCTGTTTAACACGTATGTAGCCTGGGATTAGTTCAGGTGTTTCGTTTCTTAGGAGGGGAGTTTCTCGAAGAAAACCTCGGCTCGTTTTGTCATAGGTGGCACACCAAAAAGCAGCTTGTTAGGTGGTTAGTGCGGCATACATACATTTCTTACCGTTGCGGAGGCCATGCTTCTGTTGCGAGTGACGTCTAACGCTTAGTTGGGCTCGTTTTGCAGGGGATTTTCTCGAGTTTCGGGGGAACTTAATACATTTTCTTTGCCTATTTTCCAGATTGTTGTTCTTGTTTCTGCTTGCGTAGCTAGCTATCGTTATCGCACTGGGTCGATTAATAGCAGGGTTGTCAGGTTTCTTGGGCTGAGATTAGGTTGGCAGTACCACAAGTTATCGAAAGTAATCGTATTTCAAATTTGAATAAAGTTTATTTATAAATGGTTTCTTTATTTATGATGAGGTAATCTTTAAGTAAGTTATTTCGCTTAAATTTTTTTTATAAAAGTATTTATAGTGTGATATGACCAATTAAAGACCACTTAAGGGTTCTGTGACCTGTATTTCTTACTCTTACATATTTGTGGTCCAAAACCTGATCAAAACCGCAAAGGAAGCCATTGAAATGCCGCATCCAACACTTGTCAAGTCAACTCACAGCTAGAAAACTCCATCAGTAGCTCGTTGATCGCCTGGTCTGTTGGACGGATTAGTCTCCCAAATTTTCACGATGGAAAAATGCCCAGCCTCCTCGAGGATATTGATCGTCGGAGCAGGAGCCTCGGGAATAGCCGCCGCCACGCGACTTCTGGAGAACAACTTCGGGAACGTGCAGATCCTGGAGGCGGAGAACCGCATCGGTGGGCGGATCCAGACCATCTGCTTCGGGGATAACGTAGTCGATGTGGGTGCCCAGTGGTGCCATGGCAAGCAGCGCAATTGTGTGTACGAGATGGTCAAGGATATGGGTGTGGTCCAGGATACGGGTGACTTTTTCGCTGGGATCAAGAGGGTGAGATCGAATAAGGAGGTGGTGCCGCATGATTTAGCTTGCTCCTTAACCGACATTTCCATGGGAAGCATGCCAAGTGGTCCTCAACCGGTTGCGGGATCCTTTGGCACTCACCTGGCGGAAAACTTCTGGCGGAACATCGAGCAGCAGCTGCCCCAGGTGGACAGGATTTTGGCCAGTGAGGCTTTGGAGGCCTTTACCAAGCACGAGAGCTCGATCATTGGTGCGGATAGCCTTTTTGAGGTCTCCGGCAGGGAGCACATCGAGTATGATAAATGCGATGGCGAAATGCTGATCCACTGGGGCACCAAGGGATTCCAGAGGTTCCTTCGCCTGCTGATGAAGGTCAGTGAGGAGACGCCCGAGGAGCTGGGACTCCTCCAAGGACGCGTCCATCTGGGAAAGAAGGTCACCAAGATTGATTGTTTGACCAGTCCCGGCAAGGTGATCCTGCGCTGTGAGGATGGGGATTACTTCGACGCGGATCACGTCATCTGCACTGTCTCGCTGGGAGTCCTGCAGGAGCAACACGAGAAGCTGTTTATCCCTCCTCTTCCCGCCGCCAAGGTGAACGCCATTCGAGGTCTCACCCTCGGAACTGTGAACAAAATGTATCTGGAGTTTGAGGAGCAACCGCTGCCCGACGATTGGGTGGGTTTCTTTTGTTTCTGGCTGGCCGAGGATCTGAAGGAGCTGCGCAAGACGGAGTATTTCTGGCTGGAGGGGATTACCGGTATCCACCGCGTCACCTGTCAGCCACGTTTGCTGATGGCCTGGGTGGGTGGTGCCCTGGGTCGCCACATGGAAACCCTGACCGATGAGAAGGTCCTCGAGGGTTTGCAGTGGCTCTTCCGCAAGTTTCTCACCTTTGAAATACCTGAGCCAAAGCGTTTCATCCGCAGCAAGTGGTTTTCGAATCCCAATTTCCGCGGCACCTGGACCTTTCGACCCACAAAGGCCGATGAACGGGACACGGGCCCTTGGGATCTGGAGTCTCCGGTTCTCGGAGAGGATGGCCACCTGGGCCTGTTGTTTGCCGGAGAAGCCTCCAGTAGGAACCACTTTTCCACTGTTCACGGAGCCGTTGAGGCAGGATGGCGCGAGGCAGATCGTCTGATCAGGCACTACTCATCTTGCGGACCAAGATCTTAAGATAATCTGATTTTTGGTAGTTTTCTACGTACTTCTGTTTTTGGGTTAATGAAATTCTTTGTTTGTGAAATAAAATTATTTTACTGATACTCTAAGTATTTTTTAATAGAAAACTATAATGTTTTTATAAATAAACGTTTTTTTTTTTTTATTTTCTTTATTTGTGTTTATAAAATTCCAAGTTTCTCGATTTCAAGTTCCTGTATAAAACAGCTTAAAGGTTTTAAGAATAAATGAATATTGTAAAAAGTTGTTGACGTTCATTTACTTCGATCGAAAAACACGTAGCATGTGAGTTATATTTTTACCTACTTGCTTTTTAAAAGAAAAAATAAATAAATAAAAAGTTTTAAAATTTCAAAATCGCGACCGTTACCTGATTAAAAATTAGCGCCCTTCATCGATTTATCGGACTTATCGCATCAGCTGTTCTTGAACCATCACTAATGGGATTTTCAAAAATCTTTTGACATAACATAACACAACAATAAAAATGCAAATAATTAGGAATTGCAGCAGCAAACTACTGAAACACAAGTACCTGTGCCAGCCGAAGGTGTACTCCCTGTACTACAGTACATCCAAAGGTGCGTCACCGCCAGTTTTATTCATAAAACCCAGTGCCGGCTAAAGGATTCGTTTTCCTCCACTTACAGATGCGGCCAAAGAGCTACCGCTGGCCCCGGGATACCAGCCACGCCCCGTGGAGCAGGCCTATTGGGAGCGGGAGCAGCGCCAGGCGAATCTGCCCCAGCCTCCGGTCGGCGGTTGCAAGCGGGGCAGCTTCCGCATGCTCCTCCCGCCGCCAAATGTAACCGGGAGTCTCCACCTGGGCCACGCTCTCATGGCCACCGTGCAGGACGTGCTGGCCCGCCAGCGTCAGCAGCTGGGCTACCAGGTGGACTGGGTGCCGGGCACAGATCATGCGGGCATCGCCACCCAGGTGGTCGTCGAAAAAACCATTGCCGCATCGCAGGGTAAAACGCGCCAGGAACTGGGACGAGCGGCCTTCCTGGACGAAGTGTGGCGCTGGAAGGCGGAAAAGGGCGCCGGAATTGTCCAGGATCTGCGCCAACTGGGCTGCCGGCTCAACTGGCAGCGTGAGTACTTCACCATGGACGAGCAGCAGGCGCATGCGGTCAATGTGGCCTTCGAGCGACTCTTCGACGAGGGTCTCATCCGTCGGCGCAATTCGCTGGTCAACTGGTCCACCGCCCTGCGCTCCGCCATCTCGGACATCGAGGTGGATACGCTGGACATCAAGGAGCCGCTGGAGATTGCCGTTCCGGGCTACGAGCAGAATGTTCTCTTTGGCAGAATCTACGACTTCGCCTATCGCGTGGTGGATGGCGAAACACTGCCTGATGGTTCGGCTGAGGAGATTGTGGTGTCCACCACCAGACCAGAGACCATCTTGGGCGACGTAGCAGTCGCTGTTCATCCGCTCGATCCGCGCTACACTAAGTATCGAAATTTGGAGGAGGTAAAGCTCAAGCATCCCTTTCGGCACGACACCATTCCACTGGTTTTCGACATCGCCGTGGATCAGGAATTCGGCACCGGGGCGGTGAAGATCACTCCTGCCCACGATAAGTTCGATTTCGAGCTGGCCCATCGCCATAAGCTGGAACCGCGCCAGGTGTTCAACGAAACGGGCCATGTGGTGGGGGCTTATCCGGAGTTTAAGGGCCAACCGCGTTTTGAGGCGCGAGAACTGATTGTCAACCGGCTGGAGGACTTGGAACTTCTGCGCCAGGTGCGCGCCCACACCATGCAGTTGCCCATCTGTTCGCGCTCCAAGGATGTCATCGAGTACATGATCCTGCCGCAGTGGTACCTCAAGTGCAAGGATTTGGCAAGGGATGCTTTATCAGAACTCCACAGTGGCCGCCTGCAAATCCAGCCAGCGAGCTTCGAAACGGAGTGGGAGCGCTGGCTGCAGGACAGCCGTGACTGGTGCATTTCCAGGCAGTTGTGGTGGGGCCACCAGGTGCCCGCCTACGAGGTGATCGACTCCAAGGGCAACAGCCAATGGTTGGCCGCTCTGGACGAAAAGGCAGCCAGGCAGAAAGCCATACAGCTAATTGGCAGCGAGGAATTCACTTTGAAGCGCGATCCCGATGTGCTGGACACTTGGTTCTCCTCAGCGCTGCTGCCCTTTTCCACGGCCGGTTGGCCAGAGGAGAGCTACAAGGAGCGGTATCCCCTGGACCTCATGCAGACTGGCCACGATATACTCTTCTTTTGGGTGGCTCGCATGATGATGATGGGTCTGAAGCTGACCGGCGAGGCTCCCTTTCAGAGGGTTCTCCTCAATGGCATTGTGTGCGATGCCCAGGGCCGGAAGATGTCCAAGAGTCTCGGTAATATAGTAGCCCCACAGCAGGTGGTGCAGGGCGCCAGTTTGGAGGTGAGTGAAGCCTGAACAGCCTTTTATTATTATACCCTCGCAGAGGGTATTATGATTTCAGTCAGAAGTTTGCAACGCAGTGAATGAGACGTATCCGACCACATAAAGTATATATATTCTTGATCAGGATCAATGGGGGAGTTGATATAGCCATGTCCGTCCATCTGTTTCTACGCAAACTAGTCTCTCAGTTTTGAAGCTATCAGATTGAAACTTTTCCAAAAGTCTTCTTTCTATTGCAGGTAGTATATAAGTCGAAACCGACCAGATCGGACAACTATATCTTACAGCTCCCATAGGAAGGATCGGAAAAAAAACGTTAAAAAATTCTAGCTTCGGTGTTTTTTGAAATATTACCTTCTACACTTGGGGATATTATTTTTTAAATATTTCTGAATTTCAAATTAAATATTTAAAAAATTCGGACGACTATATCATATAGCTGCCATAGGAACAATCGGAAAATTAATGGGAATATAATAGGAAATAAATTATTGCTTCATTGGTTTTTATTGTATTCTCTTTTACTCTGTGATATGACTATTTTTAAATATTTCCGAATTTCGATTTTAATTTTATAAAAATTGAACTACTATATCTATCATATAGCTTTCATAGGAACGATCGGAAAATTAATGAGGAATAATAGAAAATTTAACATTTTTGCGATTTGTAAACTAATAGGAATGATCTGCAAGGGTATATAAACTTCCTTTCTTGTTTTTGCTAATTTTTGATTTCCCCTGCAGAGCCTAAAAGCTGGCCTAGAGCAATCCTGCGAGGCGGGCATCATCAAGCCCTCCGAATTAAAGACATCCACAGATGGAATGACCAAGATGTTTCCCAACGGCATCCAGGAGTGCGGCACCGATGCGCTGCGCTTCACCCTGATGAGCCACAACATCAAGAGTCACTTCATCAGCTTCGATGTGAATGCCTGCTACACCAACAAGCTGTTCTTGAACAAAATCTGGCAGGCGATGCGATTTACTTTGGGCTCCGCCAAGACACTGGGCATCTCGCTGGACCAGTTCGAAACCCTGGAAGGCGTCAGTCTGGGCGTGTGGGATCGTTGGATCATCGGCCGCCTGGCGGATACCTTGTCCATTTGCTCGCAGAGCTACACTAGCTACAATTTCCACTTGGCCACGGCGGCTTTGAAAACCTTTTTCTATCAAAATCTATGTGATATTTACTTGGTGAGTATAATGTGCCATTCAATGGTTAATGTTTACCCTCTAAAGCTGTGCTTTTGATTCCATAGGAGACCACCAAAACGGCCATAGCTAATCGCACTCCCAGTGCCTACATCCATGTGGGCACCCTGACCGCTTGTCTCAGCTGGGGCCTCCAGGCCATGGCTCCATTCACCCCCTTCGTGGCTTCCGAGTTGCTGCAGCATGTGCCCCTCAATATCGAACTCAAATTGTCCGACTACCAGGACGTCAAACTGGAGGAAGAGGTGAATGAAATAGTGAGCATCTGCCAGAATGTCCGGCAGGTGAAGAGTCGCAATGAGATCAGCAAGCGGCACCAGCCGCGTCTCAGCCTGTTTGCCCAGAATTCCGACTCAGAGGGAGTGCTTCGTCGGCATCTACCGCAGATCCAGGTGCTGACCCGCTGCGAAGGCGTGGAACTGGAGCTTCTGGACGAGAGCTCAAAGATTTCGAAGCAGCTCAGCTTCTTTTCAACGGCAGGAGCACTTTGCTCCTTTGGCTTGAAAGTGGGCAATGGTTTGGCCTTGACGGAGGAGAAGCGCGACGAGATGCAGCTGGTCAACAACAAGAAACTCAAGAAGCTGGTCAATGAACTGCAGCGGTACCGCATGCGTCTGGACAACGAAGCCTTCCAGCTGATGGCCGACAAGGCCGTTAAAATGCATTTCGAAAATAAGGTAATAAGGGGAAGGGATTTTTAGTTCAGCAAGTTTATCTTATAAGGTTTTGTTTTATTGCAGGTTAAGGAACTGGAGGCGGAGATCAACAGTCTCACCCGGCTGGCAGCGTGATCCTAATCCTCGGTTTTCCATAAAATCATTGTTATTGTTAACCAAACAACTAAGTCGTCTGTTTGTTTTAGAATTAAAGACTGCAAAATTTATTAAATGCAATTGTAAGCATTTAACTTAATTTTAGGAATTTTTAGATGTACCTTTCCACCATTGGACATTTCCGTTTTAAACTGCTAACTCTTTTGTCACAGAAAACCGCAAAATAATACATATTTTTCTTCGAATAGATTTAAAATTTCTATTAGATCATTTTTGCTAATTGCTACTTTCACGAAACATTTAAAACAAACCTCTAGTATTGCTTTGTTTTGATACTTTCCAATGTTAATTATATTTACTATTTTTCAGACACCCAGAAATATTTAACCGTTCTTTTATGCTATGATTATCAAGTCTTTTTCTTTATTTTATACCATATATTTACAGAATTGGACATGCGTTCTGCGAATACGACAAGTAGAAGCCGCGATTCGATATGTCCATATCCTCGTTGCCATCGGTGACCGTGTAGACCACGAAAGGCTTCGCCGCCGTGGTCGTGGACACCAGGCCCAATCCACAAAAACGATCGCTGGGCATGGAAACTCCGCCCTGCGTTGGCGCCGGAATGATGATGTAGTCGGTGGTGCAATCCTGGCTCTGCACGGAGGAGGTGGCCAGCAGCGTTGGATCCACGGCACCCACATCATTCGTCAGCGTAAAGGAGTACGTATCGGAGCTGACCTGGCTGTAGGTGATGGAGCACATTCCGGCCGCCTTGCGGATGCAGATGCCATACTTCGTATTCGCCAGCTGCCTGGTGCCCTGCACGCCAATCGAATTGAGGGCGGAGGAGGCTGCCGAGACGTAATTGAAGCTGGCCAGGGTGCCACTGCTGGGCATATAGTACTGCAGGCATCCAGCCGGAGCCAGAGTGGCCGAGGAGCAACCGAGCATCCTAATCTGGAACTGCCAGTTGCGGTTGAAGGTGTAACTCCCCGAGGTGGCCACTGAGATGGTGATCGGATTGACCCCGTTGAAATCGACATACACATGCTGTCCGGAATTCTCGCCGCAGATGCTGGGCACTTGCGAGGTTCCTCCCGTGATGGTCAAGGCATCCGTGGAGCAGGCTCCATCGCCGGACGGCGGAGCCAGCGAAAGGGAAAGGAAGTCGACGCGCAGCTGGCAGATTGAGGAATCCGGCGGAGTAACCACAATGGAACAGCGTCCGCCGCCCGCATACGGAGCAGGATAATTGCTGTTGTAGAAATAAGTGTTATTGTACGTGGTACTCGCTCCACAAGTCCTTTGATCTGGTAGAAAATTGTATAATTTAGTAATTGATAAGGGATATTTATTCCTGATTCACTTACAAATGCAGCAGATGGCCTGGGCTGTAATGGAGGAGCAACTGCCCGCCGCCACGCCGCTATTATCCGTGCACTCTCCGTTGATAACGCAGGTGCCCAGGAGCAGATTGTTGCCCGTGCAAATGTCGTTGGAAAAGCGACCAATTGTATAGAAGGGAAACCCTAAAAAGTAAAGAGAGACTCATTGAAATGGCATTGAAAATTATCCGGATAGGCAGGGAGGTTTATAACCGTAGGGCTTTTATTATTCCATGAACTTGAAAGGGCTGATACTTTATCACCTTATAAAACCCCATGAGATTACTTTACAGTGGATATTATATTTCTTCAACACATATTTTCCAGATTTGTAGAAATAAGTCTGAATACCAATTCTGTTTTATGATAATGTTGGACTTTGATGCACAGATGGGTTAAACTATCAAATTACAATAAAATTAAATTAATATTTGTCATACAAATTTCAATAAATCTCCATAAAAATAAAGATTTTACAGTTTAGTATTTTCTGAAATTGTTGTTGAAAATCTCTTAATCTTTAATAAACAGTTTTTAAGAAGTTTTTAGGATTAATTGAAAATATTTCCTTTTATTGTTATCTCGAATATTTGTCTGATTTGATTTGATTTAAAAAGATTTGCACTAAATTTTAATAATAAGGAGGTACGATATCTTCAATTTTCTATTTATCTAATAGAATTAAGATCACCGAAAAACCACCTTATCGAGCACCCACTTTAAATTCCAGAAATGCAATGCGCAAATGGAAAGGTTTGCGGTGGAAGCAATGATGATTGCCAAAGACTAAAGAATCCACCTGCGCTACATGCACAGTGGGTGATAATTGAGGCCTGACCCACATACTTCCACCACGACGGAAAAACAAACTGCCGGCATTCATCCGGTCAGATCTCAGCAAGAGTCACCTGCTGGGGAGCTCAAACTTACAGCGAGGATGTCGCGATCCACTGCGGGCCAAGCTGGAATCCTCCTCCGCTGTCAGCAGGGTGTCGTTTCCCAGGATCAGGGAATCATTGGCCTGTATCAAAGAATCGCTAGCTTTCGAATCGGAAGCCAGGGCCAAACTGCTGGCACGTGCCGCACTGTAGATCCCCACTATGTAGCTGCTGAAGAAGATGGCCACGAGGGCCAAAAGCTGCGAGGAACGGCCACCGGCAGACATGATAATCGGATACCGTACGGATCACTTTCGGTTTTCACTCGGGGAGCTGGAGCTCTGGCTGTGGCTGGAACGGATTGGCTACCGATCGAGAGAGAGACGTGCGTCCGCGCGTGTGACACAATGGAGACTGAGCCGATTGGGACTCGTCTTTTGGGGGCACAGTCGGATGGTCCAGGCCAGTGGGCTGCTCAGGTGCTAATTGAGAGAACCCGACCAGTCATGCACCGTCTCCAGGGACGGCTGGAGTTCCTCGAAATGCAAGTACCGTTTTTATGGGCCATTATAGATTATATTTAGTAGTTTACGATCCAAAAGTTGTAAACCCTTTTCCTTGCCATCTATTTTATATCTATTTAATTACTATCTAGCTTAAAATATTCAGAATCGGTTCCGTGATTAGGTTTTTTTCTTCAGTTTTTAAATTCTTTTTAAACTCCTTGGCTATTGTAAAATACTATAAAATTATAATATACATAAGTAAATCTAAATTTTACTTTAAATACCAGAGAATCAACCCAAAAGTTCTAAACCTTTTGCCGTATTATCTACTTTAGAATATTCAGAATCGGTTCCCGTGATATGTTTTTTTTTTAAGTTTTTAAATTGTTATGTTGTAAAAAACTCTTTTTTAGTTATTCTTTTTTTACTCTTTGGCTATTGTAAAATACTATAACATTATAATATTACTAAAATAGATACTAGTAGAATTTCGCTGATATATGGTTTAAAACTGTGAATTTCAAATAAAACGTGACCCATTTTTAATTTTTAATGAATGAATTTCACCATGCCACCTATCACTTCGAACCGCTCCTGTCCGGAGATCGTGTGGGGCTTATTTCAACTGACCGGGAGAGAATGTGGAGCACTCACGCATGGGAAGTGCTCGGCTTCTAGATCGTATTGGCTTTATTCGTTACCAGAATTTACGCGTACCGCTTCTGGACGACAACAAACCAATTTCTGGGCGATGAAAGTGATAGAAAATGCCAGGCACTGGCACTGATACCCAATTTGGCGGTTGGTTTGCGCACGCGTGCAGCGCCGCATGATTCCCCGGATCGGAGATCGGATAAAAGAAAGTGTCCGTCTGTTTGCTCTTCTCTCCGGTGTGTAAACCCGGGTCTACTCCTCCAGCATCTTCTTTCCGCTCGAGCCAGTTTTAGTGGCTATAAATAAAATCGAAAACGCGGCTCCATTGTGATCGGTCCGCTTACAGATGATGTAACGGTACAATCGAGATGAGTTTTGGCGCGTGTTTTTGAGTCTCATCCGCTGATCGATCTGCTTTGCTGCATTTACTAGAACGCGCCACGCACGACGCCAATTAGCAGGATATCACTAATCGCCGACTATGCGGGCACTAATTAATGTTTAATCCCAAAAGGAAGGTAAAAGTGGATTGGCTTTAATTGTTTTCCACAGCGAAGCGTAGAAAGTTGCAAGTGATCTGTCGCGTTGCCAACTGTCGAGGGTTCAATGCTTGAAACTCGAGTGATTGTAAGACTACAAAATTAACACTTGTTAAATTTAAAAATGTATACTTTTATTATTATTATTATTTCTTTATTTTGCATCCTAGCACTACAAGTAAAAAACTGTTAATTTAATGTGCTAGTCACTTTTTGATACACACATTTTTTTATTTATCATTTTAAAAAAATGTGTGTTTGTACTTGCAATTTTTTTGTCATTAATGCCTTTTTGGATTTACTTTAAAATTTTAGCGAACTAATAAGATGTTTAATTGTTTAAAAAAAAAATAATTATTAGAGTGATAATAATTTTTAATGTACGGACTTGATCAAGATGTAGTAAAGTGTGCCAATAAAAAGGATTTACCAAGTCCTTAAAATTTAGAAAATTGAAATGTTGTTAAAGATAAAATAAATATTTCAAAAAATGGGTACTTAAAAGTGGATATGAAATATCGAAGTAAAATAATTAGTAAATTGAGATATAAGAAAAAATATTTGGAAAGCAACAGTGATATTATCTTCAATTAGCCATTAATAAGAAGAGGTGAAGCACTAAAATTATTGGCTAAAATCTTGCATCATTACATTAATTCAATGAACACGAAGGTAAAGGCGGAGTATGGCGAAACCTACTGCCTTGCTACATATAAAATTTTCTTGGTTAAACAAATTGTTAAGTTTAGAGCAAATGTTGCCCGGCTTTTTATTAAAACAGTAACTAGCAGCTAAACGCAAAATGGGAAATCGAAGGCACCGCCGGCGCTGGCGATCCTACTCGATTTCGATGATGGCACCCGCCTTGGCCAGCGCCTCCTTGAGCTTCTCGGCCTCCTCCTTGGGGATGTCCTCCTTGACGATGGTCGGTGCGCTCTCGACGAACTTCTTGGCCTGGACGAGGTTCATGCCCTCCAGCAGGTTCTTCACCTCCTTGATCAGCGCCACCTTCTGCTTCTCATCGAACTTGACCAGCTTGACCTTGAAAGAGGTCTGCACCTTCTTGGGCGCCGCCTCCTCCTCATCCTCGGCGGGAGCAGCACGTGCCGGCCCAGCGGCGAACTGGGGGGCAAATGCGGTCTCGGGCAGGTTCAGTTTCTGTTTGAGCAGCGTGCTCAGCTCGGCCACCTCGAGCAGGTTGAGGGCGGCGATGTTGTTGACAATGGTGTCCAGCTTGGGATTGGGTGGCTTGGCCACCCCCTCCGGCGTGGGAGGCACCAGTTTCTCGGCTCCCGAGACCGCGGCAGCCGGAGCCGCTGCACTGTACATGCGATGCAGCTGCACTTGGCGCGAAATCTGGCGCAGGGCGAGGCGAGTGATGTGCATTCTGCTGGTGTCTGTAAGGCTTAAGTTAGCAAATTGTTTAACTATCAGTAATATTCCATTTACTTGTGGTTTTCGGGTGACAAAATAAATTCCGGAGGGCCAGCAGCAGGTTATGTGAGCAGTTGTTTATCGATAACCAGCCAGGGCTGCAAAGTGTATTTTTTAAACGGCATTACCATGCTTGAAAATAATCAGCCGGTTTGAAAAAAGTAACGGATAATATACCAAAAAATCTAAAAACATATTTTTTAATTCCTAATTTTATTAGTATTTGTGTTTTAATAAATAATTGCAAGTTCTGATGAAGAACTAATTGGTTAAAAACTTAATAAAAATTCAATTTAATTCGATTTTAAAGAGGGCGTTTCAAAAATAATTTCTGATTTAAAAAAAAAGCACTTTAACACCCTACAAAAAAAGGACCCAAAGTTAAAACAAAACAAAAATTGTTTTGTTAAAATTTAGAATTATTTTTTATTAAATTTGATTTGTGAATTTGTAAAATCCTTGTTCAATTACAGGGATTACAATGAGTACACCTTGACGTAGTCGATCTTCATGTGCCCCTCGTCCAGCCAGTGGTCCCTGTTCTTCTTGACTTCCTTCCAAAAGGCCTTCTGCGCCTGCGGAGCCCTCTCGTTCCAGGGCTTCACCACGTGCTGGTACTCGTTGAAACCGCCCACGCCGAGACCGAAGGTCAGGTAGAACTCCTGATCGAAGGGTGCCAGCCCGGAGCCCTCCTCCAGTTTCTGGGCCTGTGGCAATCGCTTTCCCGCGGCCGTTGTCTCACTGAAAGCTCCCTTGTCGCTTCCCTGGACGCACCACTCCTTGCCGTCCACCAGCCAGCGAAGTTCCCTCGGTGTCCATTCGAGTGTGTAGTTGTGGAAGCTATCGCTCCAGTCCTCGGAATTGTCTCCAGTTCCCGGCTTAAGGCAATTCTTCACCGAACGCAGTGGCTCATCGGCGAAGAGCACGGCGGCACCATAAAGATCCAGATTACCGCCATTCGGACGGGTGTAGGCGATCCTCAGTTGACCCGACCGGTAGTCATCCGATCCGTAGACCCTATGCTTGGGCTGCAGCCAGATCTGTGGGGTCACCCACTTTGCCCTCGGCATCTTGGCACGCACCTCCACGCGGCCGTACTTGAAGGAGAAGAAATCCTTGGAGGAAAACTGGGCGGTGACCATCGGGGGGAGGCCATCATTCATGGTCCTTCCATTCCGCACACAATCATGGGTATTCGCCACTCCAGTGCACGAGGCACCCAAATCCAAACTGGCATCCGATCCCTTGTGGAAGTGCTTCTTCATCGTATTCGTGGCGAGCGCCACATGTCCATTGGTCAAGCACAAGGTGTCCGGGGCATCGTCCACATAGACATTGAACTCATAGTCGGGTTCTCCGGAAAACCTGCGCTCCGCTTTCCATTTATTCGGATCCAGTTTGGCGGCGTTGAACTCATCCACGAATACCAACTGCCCGGCACAGCGAGTAGGTGCTCCATTGACCTCCGTTTTGGGCGTAGTGCAGCCCACTCTAATATCGATATCCGGATCTGCAGGTGGACTCCAGGGCGTGGTGGAAGCGGGGGCCACCGGTGGACGTGGAGTGGTCGCCGAGGTGTTATTACCACTGTAGCCATTGACCACAAACGACCCGTCGTCTTCGCGATAACCCAGTCCATTGTAGATAACGTACGTCCAGTAGTACAGGGTGTCGCCTGGTTTCAGAGCCGTCGTCCGATCCCTGAAGGTCCAGCGGCCGTTCTTCGCCTTCACGATGTCCCGAGCCCATGTGCCCGCCTCCAGACCCTCCATTTCCTCGTTCAGCTTGCCATGGAAGGCAAACAAACTGATGCCCTCCTCGTCGGGAATGGAGACCTCGAATCCCTTGGGGTAGAAAACCTCGATCTTGGCCTTTGTCACCTCGTATCCCTGGACGCCGAGGAGGAGAACCAGCCAGTGGAGGCAGCAGAACCAGGCGAGAAAGCGCGATGCATCCGCCATCGTGGGAATAACGATTGTAACTACTGCGATGAGCGGTCTGACAAGTCGTGCTTGGGAATCCGAGAAGCTTATCAAGAACCGGTCGGCGCTTTGTTCGTTAATAGCGCACAGCGAAAAATCGTAGCCCCATCTGTTCTGCCGATTATCACGGATTAATATCAAAGAAAAAGAGGTTACAGTCATGTCTTTGTATAGTATATTATTATTTAATAATATTAAAATGTCCAATTAATAAAACTATAATACAAATAATTTATTGATTAATGATTTAAAATACATTTTTGTAAATGGAAACTTTTAGCTTCAAAGGAATAAATATTTTCTCTCCGTGTATTAATCTGTTGAAAATGTCTGCGAAACCATAAAGAGAGAAAAACGATCTCGGGATTTACCCAAGCCACAGTCTTGAGTGTGGATTTTAGATGAGTCAAAGAAGGTAAACATATCATTAAGAAAGGTAAACAACAATTTTTACTGATTTCAAAAAGTCCGCCTAACAATTGACAGCTTGACCAACACTGTCTAATCAGCTGTTTTGTGGTCCATCGATAACCATCACTGGCGGTCTATCGAAGTTGGGTATTTTAGGGTATATACGCTCATTCAGAATGTAACCTTTATTAACCTAATTGTCAGCTATGCCGTGTTATTAAATAAAGTTATACTCCCAAAATAAGACAAAATGAAATAATAAAAAGGTAAGATAGGTTATATCCTTCGCTCAGAGCATTTAAACACCATCATTGTGCACATCATCTTGTAAAGGGTATCCCGCAGTCGAAACACTTCAGAAATAATAAGCTCTGCCGCGCAGCAGGCGACGAATTTCGATGAAATTCTGAGTCTCGTCCGTGTGCTTGTCTGATTAGCTTTCGTTCTCTCGGTAGAAAAATTTGTAGAAAATATCACACACGAAAAAAAAATAACAAAAAAATGAACATATTTTTGTAAAGTATATAGTAAACGAGCAAGACACTGTGTGCGCGTATATTTTGTGGTTCGCATTTTCTAAGACGGTGTTTTTGTGTAATTCAACTGAAAACTTTGGCCAAAAACGGAACGCATCGCAAAGAGGACAACAAAAGACAATAACAAATTCGCAGCTCGTGTGTCGGTGAGTGTGCGTGCGTCGTGTGTGTGTGTGTAGGTGGGCAGGTGCCAAAAGAACGCGGAGATAAACAAATTGGATCGGTGGAGCTGTTTTGTTATTGTAAGTAATGCAGATTTATGTAATTCGCTTGTGTGTGTGCTTTTTTTGTTTCTCTTCTAAGAAAACAGCTGTGTCGTTGCCAGATATCAAATCGCTTTATGTAATGCCCTGTCATGCTTAATTACGCTTAATTGCAGTGCTTAACTTAATTGTTACAGCATTTCGAGGGCATTATTTATTTTCCTAGCTAATTACGAGTGACATGTAAAGTTATCGATATATCGATTGACAGGCATTACATGGCAACACTGCGCCGTCGCCACTGCAGCGTCCAGAGCAGCTGTTGTTGTAAGGGGGTTGGAAAAGGGGGCGGGCGGGCGAAAAGCACACAGCACGAAACACCGCACGAAAGCAAAACAAGCGAGAATGATTGATTTTTCGTCGTGCGTCGTCGGGAAAAGTAGGCGAACGGCAGCTTCGCGGAAAAGCGGGCAGCAGTGAAAACTTTTAGTATCACAGTCGTTGCTGACGAGCGGAAGGGACCGCAGCTCGGGAAAATCAGGAAAAGAAAATCACGCGAGGGCCCCCGTCTTTTTTTATAAGAATTTCAAAATATTTTCAATCGAAAGGCGTTTAGTGTAAATAGTTTTTATCGTTTTCTAATCAAATTGCCAGTGGAAATAGTGTTTTAGTGCTGTGCTAAGAGAATTACCGTTAATCGGAAGTAGAGAACCGAGTGCAAAGGAATTTTCCTACGTCACAGGCTGTGCCGTGCGTGTGTGTGAGTGTGCACCCCCGGAAATGTAACACGCACACTGGCGCAGTGAAAAACTTGCACCTGAAAGTTTTCGTCGTGTTTTCCACCTTCGTGCGCCTGCTCTCGGCATTCGACGACGAAAAAAACCAAACAAAAAATATAGAAAAACGCAGAAAAAGGTTAGTTTTCCGCTGTGCAGTGCACCTGTCAAAAATCCTATTTAAAATTCTGACTTATTTGCCCCAGTTTTCATCCAGGGCTGGCATTATCTACCGTTAGCGCGTGTGTATATTATGTGCGAGTGTGTGCTGTGTGTGCGAGTGTGCGAGAGTGTGTACGTAACCAATTGGAACTGGGGCAACTGGCAAATACGGCAACGAATCGGTGGAGCAAAGCAAACGCCGCAATAAACCCCTAAAAAATCTCCAACCCCGTGAAGCAAGCGCGAGAAAAGCTGGCTGAAAGCTGCAACTTGGCCCAGTTACTTTGGCTCTAATTGCAGACGTGATAATAGAAGTGCACACAAAGCATAATAAAGATAAAGTTCGGGGGTGGTGGGGTGGGGTGGAATGAAAAAACAGCAGTAGCATAACAAACAAAAACAAACTTCATTTGCCAAGAGTTTTTCAACCAAATTTGTTTGCCCACACACTCGTAAGGTACAGATAAAGATACAAATGCATCTCAGTTAGAGATGAGCTGCTCTTCAACTTTTCTCATTTTCTCAGTTCTTGAGTTCTCGAGTTGGTAAACAAAGTCGCGGATTTTGGGGGTGGCAGGTATAATAACTGGTTTTTAACTTAACACTTGGCCACATTCAGGGGTAGTTTTTTAATGGGGTTTTTTTCGGCTCACTTTAAAGCATTACCACCCAGCAAGACTAGCATTTTTATATTCGGAGCTACTTTATTTGCGACTTTAATCCAGCGGTCGGCAGCGTCCTATTAAGTGAGCATAGGGAATTGCTCTGCTCATCCGCTGCCCCTCACGGACACTGTAAAACAGCAGTCTGTACACACATCAATGAGCTGCCCAGTGCAATTTACTCACACATATATAAAACAAAATGTCATCGTATGTGTGTGCCGACCGCTGCTTTAATCAGATACATTGAAAAGAGGTTACTACCTCCACTCAGTAAAAAGTTTGTAAAAAACATTTAAAATATTTTTTAAAAAGTGTTTATAAATACCATTATAAAGTAAGTCCTAACTCAGATAGGATTGCAGTTAGAACAAAACATTTAAAACTTAGATACATGACATATATGGAATGCAACTGAACTTTCATAAGTCCAAATTTGTATAATTAAATTCCAGGCAAATAAAGTTAGTTTCAATAGAAGTTTTCCATTTAAACTATTATTTCAAAAGTGGAAAAAGAATCAAAATCTACAAATAATTTTAAGAAATGTTTTCCATACATTTTTTTTCTCTTATAGAAACATATAAAAAAAATTTAAGCTTGGTTTATTTAAATAATAATCAAATTGCTTAGTAATTTGCTGTGCAATGTACTCTTTGATACCCTGAAATGCTTTTAAAAATCCTGCTATTATCCTTTCGTGCATCTCGTGACTGGGAAGCCCCTGAATATACCCCTAAAATGCCCCATCCCCAATTCAGCCCCCTTTTTGAGGCTGAGCCAAGCAGTCTGTGCTTTTGGCGGCACATTACACTTGTTTACTTTTCAAGTGTGCGTGTGTTCGTCGTTTCGTAGTGTGTGTATGTGTGTGTGCACCATGGGGGCGTTACTGTCTTTGCTGTTTTTGTTATTGCTACGCGTCGTCGTCGTCGTTTCTTCTTCGGCTATTTTTTGGGGGTCGTTCTCGTCTCGTTTGTAGGGCAAAATTATGTATTGATTATGCCCGTTTTATTTTCCTTTTGCCACAGGGGCTGGCTGGCTGTTCAAACTGGAAAAGTCCGAAAGTGTGGGGCACCTGCGGTTGGTTTTTCATGCCCGAGTGAGCCATTTCATTGGCACAGCGATTTCGTTGTCTCTGCATTTAACTAATTAAGAGCCCCTGCCCACTGGCCTCCCCCTTTTTTCCGAACAATAGACGTTTTCCGGTCGCTCAGCCCAAAATGAAGTGCGTGTCCAGGGACGGACGAAAAGCTTTGGAAATTGGATATTTTAGTACACAGAAGAAAATTTGAATAATCTATATCTTAGTCGTATATTTGAAAATAGAGGTTCTGAGGATCTTGTTAGTAAATACTTATTTCCCTATCTAAATTATGTCAATTATTAATAACAGCTATTTTATAAATGTGACAAATGTCAGAAATGTAAAAATAGACTATGAAGTACTATACTTATGACTGTTTTTGATAAAAATCTATAACGTCTTAAAGGTGTGCCACATTTTACAAAAGGGCCAGTATCTCATTGTCTACAACCTTTTTTGGAGAAGTTTTTTATTTGAGATTTAAGCAGCGCCAATAATGTTTTTAATCAATAAATTCGATTTTTGTTGTTTAATCTCTTTAGAATGCTGTAAAAATATGTTTATAAAAACTCCGAGATAAATTATACCCATTTCGTCCAGTGCATATATACTGTATATATTATATGCAAAATGGGTAGCATATTTGACCGACATCGGGAACAGCGGGCTCTGAAAACTGTTTGCCCCCGGGGGTGGCTTTTGTAATTGGAAAAGCGATCAATTGTAATCCCCCACCAGGCGGGTTTTCACTTGAATAGCGCTACAAATTTAGAACTCACTACCCCATTATCAGGCCATATCTATACACATTTATTACTCATGCTGAAAATACGAAAAGCAAAAGTTTAGAATAGCACTTGTTTATTTGTTATTTCGGTGCTGTCGCTTGCCAAGTTTCTTTTTATCAATAATATGATTGATTGCTGTTCGGTTCGGTTCCATTGTATTTTTCTTCCTTTTCATTTTGATGTTGTCGTTCCCACAAAACACAACACGCACTGCACATTTTATGACCCATTTTATCGTGGCCTTTTCGTTGTTAGCCCGATATAAAGGGGAACGTGAAAAGATAGTGACTTTGTTGTTGGCCATAAAAATAGATCCGTCGGATTGGAACGCAATTACCATTGCCCTCTTTGTTGCTTATCGATAAACCCATTTCAAATCTAACTGTTATTGGTCTAAACATTAGGTTCTAAATGGATATTTTATTACCTATTTTTTTAAATATAATTTTAATTTTAATATTTCTTTAAAACTATTTTAGTTCAAATTAAATGCCTTGACTTTGACCCATTTATTCACAAACATGTAGTTACTTTTAATTGCTGCTTTGACCTAATTTCTTTCAAAGCTCATTGCAACTTCTTTATTATTAAAGCTGCAATTTGGCAGAACATTTTACGTTCAACATTAAATGGCAACTTTTTCGGGAAAAAAACATTTCGTGAAATGATTATCTGATGAGCTGGCGACAATCGGCCAAACGGTCAGCGGCAAAAATGTATTAAGGGTTTTAAAAATAGGAAAATAAAAATTAATGTCAAATAGCTATTGCTGCTGTTGCTGCTGCTTTGTTGTTGCTGCCACTGCTGCTTTTTCGCTTTTCCCCCGTACGATTTATTTATTTTTAAACGCAATTACGTGCTGGTCTAGTGCTGCGATAGCATTGGGAAAAGGGGTGTGGCGGGGGAGGAGAGGGGCTCGAACGCATGACGTTGACATTTCGAAAACAGCAAGTGTTCAGGCAAAAATATGATCAACATATCGCCTGTCTTCTGGCCATGGCCAGCTTATATAGTCTATAGCCCATCTAACAATTCTCCTTTCTCTTTCACTACCTTTTCATGTGCCCGCTGATTGATGTTTCGGACACTCGAATTCCGCCTGCGACTCCACCACGATTCCAATTTACACATGCTCCATTTTCTCACATTTCCCGGGCACAGGTCATCTAGGGCAGCAGCGGAACTGAGGCGCAGCGGAGCCGCCCAAGTGCAGCCGTCGAAAGCGTTGGTGCGGGCACCATGGACTCGCTCAAGTTACCAAAGGGTAAGTGTCCACACTCGCAATCAAATATGTGGGAATCACGGAAGAGGTCTCATCGGAATTTGACTTACTCAAATGGAAATCCCCTGGTGTCACTCACACGAGATACAAAATATATCAGTGCCAGTTTGCACGTTTCAAGTTCTGAAGTCAAAATAGTCTCTTTCATATCAATGTCAAATGATTAAGAATACTAATTACCAAAAGGATAGATTTTAATATGAATTTCAAGGGGTTTCAAATATACGTGAGTCCCAAAAGGGGTATTATTGTATAAAAATATTTATTAATAGCAAAGTAAACTGATAAGAAATATTAAGTTAAAGTCAATTATGATAAGAAACCTTAACGTTGCTCTAATCGATAAAAATGTTTTATCAATTTCAATATAATTCGTATTGTAAAAGATACAATGCAGTACAATTTGTTATAAAATATATCGAAATGGATTTACAATCAATTTTTATATAATCGGTATTTTAATATAATGTAAGGGTATTGCTTAAATTATTTTACATTTTAAAAGAGTAGATACTAATTATGTGACTTAAAATTGGTCTGATTAAGGGTGTCCCCAAAATTCCAAAAATTCCCCTTGCACCCTGAATTTTTTTCGATTGATGTCAACTAAACCCGCATTTTGCATTTCCTAACAGCCAACAGTGCCACCAGCAGTGCTAGCGGCAGCAACAGCAACCTGTCCGGCTCGACATCCGCATCCGCAGCCACATCGCCCACATCGTCGGGCAATGCGGTCGGTGGCATTCTCTCCGGTGCTCCCAAGTCGCCACCTGGCCTGAGCAGCAGCACACCCATCACGGTGCGATTCAACGCCAACGAGGAGTCCCTGGACGACATCCTGCAGTCCTTCCATCACAGCAAGCACAGTCCAAGTGGCGGAGCGAGTGGCGGCGGCGACGCCTCGCCCACCTCGAATCTCCTCGGGATGAAGAACAACGGCCTGGGACTCAACACCGGCCTGGTCGTGGGCGCCTGTGACTCCCTCTCCAGCAGTCCTTCGCAGCCTCAGATGCAGGGCGGATCCGCGTCCCTCTTCGGCGTAAGTTTCTGAATTAAAAGATGCCATAAAATATAGGAGGTTGTTGTCCTTGAGATATTTCTGAATTAGCTTTGCTTTAGATTTTCCATACTTGGTTACTAAGGGGGATTCACTATGCCTATTACAAACATGTTGAGCTGTATTCACTAATACAAATAGAGATACTTTCTTAAGTCAAAGTGCTAGCTTAGTCACATCTAATAATAACTGAAGTAAATTTATCTATTTTAAAAATTATTTACGGTTTAAAATTTTTAACATATTTAAATTAACTGAAGTAATTTTATTTATTTTAGAAATTATTTATGGCTAATAGCTTTAAACATATTTTTATTATCTTGCCTTTACAAAGAGGAGAGTAAAAACATTTTAACGACTTACAATAAAAGCCGATCGAAGATTAATTTTTTAAGAGATAGGTAAACTTTTATGTGTAATGAGCAAATATTCCAGGATACGCAGGAATGATTTAAAACCTAGAACTTCTCAATCGATTTGGTCTCTTATAATATTTAATTTATTTAAGGAGGATTATACTATCTTAGTCACATCTAATAATAACTCAAGTAATTATGATAACAAATAGAAGGAAATATAAAGTGACTCTGAGCGAGAAACGAATTAAAGCCGTATAAAAATACATTTAGAATAAAAGATTATTTTTAGAAAGACAATTTATTTTTAGAAAGAAACTTTAATGTACTGAGCAAATATCGCAGGACCTTTTTCATATGTATACTTTGCTATAAATTTTGAAAGTAACTTATTGGTTGCAAAACAGCCCAGCTAGAATTGAATATTTCTAATCTAGTGCGGTTGGCAGTGAACATGATACTTTGTTTACTTTCCGTCCCGTGCGCGCCTCCCCTGCCTTTTATCTTTTATCGAAACGGGCCGCCACAAATTATGATTCATTTCCATCCGTCGCGAGTCCAAGTTTGTCGCAATTAAACATAAATTGTACAGAACGCGCCGCATTCGTTCGCTGATCGTCGGTAGTTCGGTGGGTCGGTCGGTTGCCAATTAGCATTTAGCATTCGCCTGGCCAAATTAGTGGAACACTTATCTTTTGATTTCTATGCAGTTTCACTTTTTAGCAGCCCAATTTGGCTTTCGGATGCCAGCGATCGTCGCGTGTGTGTTTGTCATTCAAATTGTGGCTATTTCGGTGGTTCGGGGCGGCATAGGTATGCGACCCGTTGCCGCAAAACACAGAGCACTTGCCAAAATTTGCAACAGATGTGCTGCTCGCGATTGCAAAATACATTTGGCACTATTACTCACTGTTGCAAAATGTTCTTCTCTTTTCATCTTTTCATCCAATGACGACGACTGCCACTAAAATATAATGATAATGACGACTCTGATGATGATGATCACAGAACGACGAAGTAACTCTGCGCAATAATTTCATGCAAGCCGGTGGTTTCTTTAATCGCAAAAGGTGAGTGCCAAATTGTCTTACTTCAAAATTTAGACACACTTTCCTGGGGGGATAATGTGTGTGAGTTGTGTGTACACTAACAGTCCAAATGTGTAGTTAAAAAAACCGCCGTAACATAATTGTTGTTGTTGTTGTTGCTACATATGCGTCATGCCAGTTAATACATACCCCACATACGACATATGCCTAGTTAAACTTAAACCCACACAACACATCGGAAATGCATGCATTCAAGCCATTTGTACAGTGACTCATTTGAAGAAGGCAAGCTCGAATTGTTCTTCGAGGGATTTCCAGGGGACTTTTTCTCAGAAGATTGATTGTTCTTCGAGGGAATCCTGGGGATTTTTTTCATAGGGGTCTTTCAACTTTGGAACTTCTTAATAAAATTCTGCATTTTTATAAACTTTTTTAGTTTTGAGAACTTTTGTTTAAGAGCAAACAAAGTTTAAAACCATGTAAATAAGTATCTAAGTGAATGAAGAAAAAGTAAATAATTTTTTAAATAAGAATTGCCAGTTTTTGCGGTTATGAAGCCCATTCTAAAATTACCGATTACAGTCCTTGGTTTTATAAGGTCATGCTTAATTTCTAAAATGATTTATTAATTTTCATTGAGCATGCACTTGTTACAGATCTGGTCCCCTATAATCTTTTCCAGATTAGTTTTCATAATTTATAATAAAATATATTACAAATGAGGCTACCTCTTCTTCCTGAAGCCTAATTGCCGTTGAAACTTTTTTTTGTCCACGGGTTCGTTGACCGTTGACCCTACAACGAATTACTTGGCTGCAGTTTTGTGACTTTGATTTTGTTTATGCGCATATATATGTGTAGATATATATCCTGCGCCACTTGTGCATTTTTAATGCACTCCGGCTGCAGCCGCCTCTGCCAATGGCCGTAAACTTGCCCGGCCGACGGTCTGCGCTTTTGTTGCTTTTGTCACCGACTGCATTTGTTGCTGTTGCTGTTGTTGTTGCTGCTGCTTGGAGTGGAGCATCTGTGGAGTGCACTAGCTAAAGGATCTGAATCAGCAGCGGTGGTGGGTGCGCTTTGTTTATGCTGCCTTGCAACATGCAACATATATATGTTTGTGTGTACGTTTTTTTTTAATTTTTCTTTTTTATTTTTTTGTTGCCTATGCCCGTCTGCAACTTTCAGCTCAAGTGCCGCCCCGTCTGGCCGAATGGGCGGTGGGTTTTTAAGGGGGTGGGTTTGTCGTCAACGGGACATCAACATCACCGAGCACCACGTTCCGCTCAAGTTTTGTATTTTTGTTGTCTGCTCTCCATTTCCATTTGCGGCTTTTCCCCATTTCTCTCTCTCGGTTTTAAATATTAAAAAGCAAGTCTAGCTGGGATTTTGCTACCTGAGAAGCTATTGCCACCACCTCCTCCCATTTGACGTCATTGCGCCTGATTCGGTTTATTGATTTTCGTGAGCTGATATCGTATGCACATACACGTCGGTAGTGCTATAGTACTATATACTATATGGGGAGGGAGAGGGGGTTCTTAAAGACCACTTGGCTGTCCGCCTTTCAATTTGGCCATCAATCAGTCTTGACTATTTTGTGTCGCCTCGTTTTCGCAGCAACAGCACTCTGTATTCATTTCCGTTGCCTTTTTAATTAAGTTTCCGAGGGCTAATTGCATTTTATAATTGCATTTTTCAACACTGCCTGGTGTAGTTATCACCCCAAAACCCCCACTTTTGCTTCTTGTTGTTGTTGTCGTTGTCGTTGTCGCTGCCTTTCCGTTGCTCTTGTTACGCGTGCCCTTATCATTCGGTTTCAGACTACCACCACTCAGTTAACCACCCACCTAGCCACCCCCTCCTGCATGTTGTTGCTGCTTTTTATCTATTTACACTTGTACACGTTTCTACATGTTTGTTATACACACATTTCATCATCATCATCAGCAGCATCATCTGCAACAGCAGCAACATCAAGACACAGCAGCAACATCGGCCTGCAGGAGCCACCCTAAACCACCCACAAACCTGCTTCCTGCATTTCCCCACCCCCTCAAGTCTCCCCCACCCCCTCTCTAAAGCAAGTTGTCTCGCCGGCGACGTTTTAAATTAAAAATTTCCATGCAATTTCATGTCTCGGCGGCCTTACAGTTGGGCATGCACTGCATTTGGTCCAATCAATTAGCATGAACGTGTCGAAAGCAACAACACTCACATACACAAATATTGGCCAAGAGCAACAGCAGCAACAACAGCAACAACAAACATAAACGTAACGAATTGATACACATTTGAACTAGTTTAGTTTTCTATTAGCATACATGTGTACTCGTACTCGTACTAACCCCTTGCCGCCCACTGTGCCGCGCGACTTTTTTTTGGTTGGTTACTTTTCAATTTTGTTGTTCCCCTAGAAAAATGTCCCTTTTTTCGGTTGTCGTTTTTGTATACTGGGCAAATTTTTACAACTGCCTTGAAACTATTTGTTGTGCCATATGAAAAGTGTTGGATTTTCCCTTTCGTATTGAAAATCATCAAAATAAAAAGAATAACCGGGCACAGTGCTAACCGAACCGAACTAACTAATCCACAAAATATATACTCAGCTGCTGTGCCTCTATAACTGCGCCTCTTCCAAAAGATAAAAAGCTAAACCTTCGCCAAAAACAGAAATAAACCACAAAAAGCGCCAGCGTAACTTGAAATTTTCATTTTGATTGGATGTGTCGCCAAAGAACCAAGCCACTACAAAAAAAAGAAACCACCAAAAACAATACTCGTTCCACCACCACCACCAAAAAAATACCACCAAATGCCACCCACACCATTTACCACAGCAACAGCAATCCTACACCACAACCGCCAACAACAACAACAAATATCGAGAAAATGATATATATAACAAATAATACCAATGAAGCGTCGAGCATAAAGTTAAAAGTTAAAAAGGAGCAATTTAGGTTTTATAGAGATTTAGTTAGCTCGGATGGTTTAGGGAACTATAAAAACAAGAATTAGGATATCAGTAAGAATTACTAAAATTATAAAAAAATTTAATTGGAAAATAATACTTCCAAAATAAATCAAAACTAAATAAAAATATTTTCTTAGATATTTCGATAATAGAACCTTAGAATTTAGTGTCAAAGAAATAGTCTAGTCAAGTTAGTAGAGAAGTAGGCTTTGTGAATAATGTAGTATTGCTGATCTGTCGCCGGGACACGTAAATTTATAACATTTCTAGTTCACATTTCGTCAAAACGTTTTCTCAAAATTTCTGTGTGTGAATGTGAGTGTCCGTGATAATGTATAACAAGATAGTTAACTTTTTGTAAGTTTAACGACGCCGATTTCACATATCCCGTAAAAAAAATACCTTATTAGTTATTCAATGTTTTTGTTTGCAATACTTTTCATTTTTTCGAACGCCGGGGCGGCAATGGGTTAAGCGTACACCAAACTAATTGCATTATGTACCTAGACTTAAACCGAATCCGAAGCAAATCCTTGAACAAATTGCTCCTTTTTCTCGTAATCGTAATGCAAAAAGTATACAGACCTGAATCAATCAGAATCACAAATATCAGCCCAAAAATCATCCACTAAAAATTGCCAATGTTGTAAAAGCCTCTTCATCTTGTTGTCCCTTCTTCCTGCAGTTGCGGCGGCCTGCCGAATCTCAATCTCAACAAGCCGCCCCAGCTCCACCAGCAGCAGCAACATCAGCAGCATAATCATCAGCAGCAGCAACACCAACAGCAACACCAGCAACATCAGCAGCTCCAGCAGCAATTGTCGCCGAATCTGAGTGCCCTGCACCACCATCACCATCAGCAGCAGCAGCTCCGCGAGGGCGGAGGATCACATAGCCCCTCGTCGCCGGGCGGAGGAGGAGGAGGAGGTGGATCACCGTACAACGGCTCCCAGGCGGGCTGCAGCAGCGGCGGCATCTCGCCCATTCCGCCCCAGATGTCGGGTGTATCGCCCAAGTACCGACGCAGCATATCGTTCCCCATCAAGGGCAACTCCCCGACAGCTCTCTATGGCAATCCGCACATGGACGGCATGGGCAGTGGGCACATGAACATACCAACGCTATCGATTGGCAACGGAGGTGGTGGTGGTGGCGGTGGATCTGGTGGCATGATCTCCGCCGGGGCAACCGGCGGCGGAGATGCCCCCTATCTGGGCAACAGCTACAACAACATGATGGCGTCCAACGGACAGATGCATCACGGCGGCATGGACAACTCGCTGAGCGACTACATGCGCGGCATGTCGCTGGGCGGCGGAAATGGTGGTAATGGCCAAGGCGACAGCATGGCTCTGATGCAGGACAGGATGCGTGTGATGGGCGGACCGAAGCATTTGAGCGAGGCCGATGCCATGGCCATTGCGGCCAGCGGAAATGATCCCTCGGTCTATCTAAATGCCCTCAAGATGGGCTCCCCATCGCGTCTCTCGCCCCACTCGCCACACTCACCGATTCAGGGCGGGAATGGAGGAAATGTGGGCGATGGCACGGCCCGCTTCTCCCGGAAGGTATTCGTAGGCGGCCTGCCGCCGGACATCGATGAGGATGAGATTACCACTTCGTTCCGGCGCTTCGGCCCACTGGTCGTCGATTGGCCGCACAAGGCCGAGTCCAAGTCGTACTTCCCGCCCAAGGGCTATGCCTTCCTGCTGTTCCAGGACGAGAGCAGCGTCCAGCAGCTGATCGATTCGTGCATCACCGACGAGGACAAGCTCTATCTGTGCGTCTCGTCGCCGACGATCAAGGACAAGGCTGTGCAGATTCGTCCCTGGCGCCTGGCCGATGCGGACTATGTGCTGGATGCCACCATGTCGCTGGATCCGCGGAAGACAGTCTTCGTGGGCGGAGTGCCGCGTCCACTGAAGGCCTTCGAGCTGGCCATGATTATGGATAGATTGTATGGAGGTGTGTGCTATGCTGGGATCGACACAGATCCAGAGTTGAAGTATCCCAAGGGTGCTGGCCGCGTGGCCTTCTCGAATCA